GAACTACAGGCAACAAGTAAAGACATGGAGGGCCATGGGTGTATAGCCAGATATAAGAGACAGAAGTCTGACTCCTCAGGGCCTAGATTTAATGGCTCTGCACGTGCTTCAATGAGCCACGCCACTGAAATGCCTGCGCTCCGTTGTCTCTGAGTGAGAGGCAGAGCAGGGGCTGGGCTGCACATCCCGGGGGGGCAGCGAGAGGGGGTCCTGAGGCCTTTGCTGCGTGCGGGACCTGGCGCTGGGGTGAGCTGCAAAGGCTGGAAGTGATGCAGGGGCCAGCGATGTTTCAAACTGAGAGGGAACGAGGACCAGAAGAAACCGGTCCCGAAAGGGCCTGCCCCTCCTGCTGAATCTCCATCCCTCCCTGCTGCAGCCTGGCCCTCTGGGGCAGACTTACATCAGTGAGGCTGAAGTGGGAGGGCTTTGCCAGGGGCGCAGGCACGGCTCTGCACACCTTACATTCCAGCCTTGCCTCATGATAACCGCTAACAGAGGCAATCTCGAACCTCCAGGGGCCGAATGAACACAACTCACACACTCCAAGCGGGTGGAAAGAGACAACCTGGGAGGCAGGTACCGCGCTGCTGTCTCCGGTCTCCGCTGCATGAGGCTCACAAGCCCTACCTGTGCCTCGGCGCTGCTGCCCCAGTGGGGCGAGGGGCGCGCTGTGGGGCGGGGTGTGCGTGGGAACAGCCGCCGAACAAAGCCGCGGATCCGGTTCCTATTCTTAGCGCGCTTCCTAAGGAAGTGCAGTGCAGGGACTCCGGCGCGCTCCGGGAGCGCCTCCGGGGCGGCACCAGCGGAGCTGCCCGGGGGGTGACGGTGCTGGTGCTGCTGCTGCCGCCGCAACCTCACCGGGAGCCCTGGCAGCGCAGCGCGGGGCACAGAACGGACCGGCCTGGGAAAGACCTCCAGGATCATCAAGTCCAGGCGTTATCCCAGCGCTGCCAAGTCCACCACTAACCCACGGCACCGAGGGCCTCGTCCGCACAGTATGTGAACACCGCCAGGGACGGTGACTCCAGCCCTGCCCTGGGCAGCCTGTTCCAATGCCTGAGCACCCGCTCTATCGTATCCAGTCTAAACCTCCTCTGGTGCAGCTTGAGGCCGTTTCCTCTTGTCCTGTCACTCGTTACTCGGGAGAAGAGACACCCCCCCCCCCCCGCCTCCTTTCAGGTAGCCGTAGAGAGGTCCCCCCGAGCCTTCTCTTCTCCACACTAACCCCGACAAGCTCCCTCAGCTGCTCCCCATCACACTTTGCTCCAGGCCCTTCACCACCGTTCCGCCCCTCTCTCTCTTGTACCGAGGGGCCCAGAGGTGATCGCAAGAATCTGATCTGAGGTGCGGCCTCACCAGTTCCCATCCCCGTTCCCATCCCCATTACCCGTCCCCGTCCCCGTCCCCATCCCCATCCCCATCCCCATCCCCATCCCCATCCCCACCCCCACCCCCTAACACAAGCCCTCCCCGCCCCCACCCCCTAACACAAGCCCTCCCCGCCCCCACCCCTCACACAAGCCCTCCCCACCCCCACCCCTCACAAGCCCTCCCCACCCCCACCCCTAACACAAGCCCTCCCCACCCCCACCCCTCACACAAGCCCTCCCCACCCCCACCCCTCACAAGCCCTCCCCACCCCCACCCCTCACACAAGCCCTCCCCACCCCCACCCCTAACACAAGCCCTCCCCACCCCTCTCCAGCCCCCCCACCCCCACTAACAAGCCCTCCCCACCCCCACCCCTAACACAAGCCCTCCCCACCCCCACCCCTCACACAAGCCCTCCCCACCCCCACCCCTAACACAAGCCCTCCCCGCCGCCGCTCCACAGCCCCCGGCCCGCCCCGGGCCCCTCCGGCACCACCTCTCCCGCCCCGGCCCGGCCCGGCCCGGGACCACGTGGCGCGGGGCGCTGGCGTTGGGCGGTGTCGCGCAGCGATGACGCACCGGGGCGGGCGGCGAGGCGCCGGGCTGGGAGTCGGGGCCGGACATGGCGGCTCGGGCCGGCCCACGGGAAGATGAATAAGGGCTGGTTGGAGCTGGAGAGCGACCCCGGTGAGTGCCGGGGCCGGCACCGGGACGAGAGGAAGGCATGGACAGCTCGGGGGGGGGGGGGGAGCCTGGACCTGGGGCTGTGAGAGGCAAGCCGGGGCCTGGGAGGGGGCTGTGGGGTGGAGGGGGTTGTGAAGGCAGGATTAGGGGGTGCAGCGCTGGAGTGGGCGGGCAGGAGGAGTGGGTGCTGGGGGAAAGGGACAATGCAGGGTTGATGTGTACAGGACATAGCCCATAGGGGGAGGTTATGGGGGTGTAGGGTAGGCAGAAAAGGGGTGTCAGGAGGTTGGATGTCGGGCTGAGGACAAGGATGGGGTGAACAGGGCTGCAGGAGCTCTGTGAATTGTCCAGGTTATTCCCATCCTCCCCCTTCTTCACCACATGCTGAAGACAGGATGCAGTTTGAATTCTCCCACCTGGGAGGGAAGGTTCTTTGCTTGGAATATATCTGCCTGGGCAGAGGTGAGCTCTCAGCATGCTTCAGATTTGTGGAGCTTTGGATGCAGAGGAGACAGCTGGGACAGCAGTTAGGAATGTCTCATGTGCTGCTCTCAGCATTCAGCACATCCCATAAACTGACCAGCCCCTGCCACAGGGCTTGCGATTGGAAGCTCTCAGTGCTTTAGTGATCAGGAAGGGTTGGTAGATCCAGATTTGGGCTGTCTGTTGTGGCTGCTGGGTGGAGAGGGCAGCCTTGGGAACCTCCAGGCTGCTGGTGTAGTGCTGCTTGTGCTGGCGAACACCAGAATGTTTCCTCCAGGCAGTCCAGATACTTTGGGATGGGGATTCCGAGTGTTCCAGGAGGGATGGCAGCAGGAGTATGCCTTTTGGGATGCTGAGGTAATACAAAATACTGAAATGAACTGGAGAGAAAACATGGTTGGAAGGGACCCCTGAAGTCTTTGGCCCAAAGCAGAGCTGACTTCAGAGGTAGTTCAGGTGGCTCATGGCTGTGTCTGGTTGGATACACCCAAGAAGATTTCTGCACCGTGGTCTCAGGGCTGACCATGCTGGTGGTGAAGAATTGGGTTTTTCTGGGTGTACGGTGAGAATTTCTCTTGCTGCAGCATGTTCCCATCACTTCTGGTCCCTTCATGGTGCGCTCAGGGAAGTTTGGCTCCCTCCTCTCTGCCCAGTGATGTTGCTCACACTGGAGCGAAACACACAACAGCTGAGTTCCCATACCCTTCGGTGCAGTCCTGCTGGTCAGACACAGTCCTAGAGGACTGCTGTAGAGGTATAGGAGTGCTCCAGGCCACGGTGAGCTTGGAAGTCATGCTTGGTCATCTCCTTCTGGTGGTACCTGCAGGAGCAGCGCTGCTTTTGGCATGTGGTGTTGTTTGTGTCCACAAGGCCTTGGTCTGGTGCAGATCTTCACTGGCTGCGAGGCAGAGCTTGAGGTGTGGTTCACATCTCACATCACACATGTTTTGCTGTCATCAACTGACTGTAACTGTTGGAACTGGAGAGTGACTGAGGCCTTTGACCTTTGCAGAAGCTTTTACACTTGAAAGACTCTTATCTGTAAACAGCTGTGACTCCTGCTTCCAGCTAAAGAGGGAACAAAAGCCGTGGCTGCAGTGAGCATCTGAAGACCCTTGTGGAATGCAAGGACCACTTGCCTGAAGTAGGTTGCTGCACAGAAGGCAGCGGTGCTGCCTGAAGTCTCTGTAGATGTCACCTGTACAACACAGCCTTCCATGGTATCATGAGAGCAAGGAGGCTCTCATCAGTTTGAAGCATGTCATTTCTACAGGGTATTTCTTCCCACTGTCAGTTCTGGTTTTTTGCTCCCAGAAGTGTCCTCCCTGTTTTAGTCATTTTAACTTTGGTGTGGAAGCTCCTCTGGCTCTTCCCTTCTTGGCTGAGCAACTTCCAACAGGTTCCTTAAATCCGTTGCTTACAAGGATGTTTTTCAGGATTGAATCCTTCTTATTGATAATTCCTTAGACTTTCTCCCAGGCTTTCAGCAGCCTTTGTATGGCAGCAAAAGAAGCAGATTTATTATTCCAGTCTTAAGCTCACTAACAGGGGAACTGCCTGGAAACTAGGCTGACTGCCTTTGCATGGCAGTGGAAGCTGCTGCTCAGTTCCTGATGTCTGATCATCCTTCGGTCTCTTTGCTGTTGTGTGTGTATCCTGGTTATGTCCTTTTGTAATGGGAATTTTGTCGTTGCTGGAGGCAGGCTTTTGGTCCCCTGGGAGACGGGGAGATGAGTTAGAACTGTGTGTGTCATTTAGGTGCTCCCTGCTGCTGTTCGTGGTGGGGGGTTATTTCTTGGCAGGTCATCAGTGGGTCAGATGCTGAAGGTGGGTCCAGCTTCCTTGGCCTCTGGCAGGAGAGGGTTTGTTCAGGTCCCCTCGAGGAAGTGGATGATGCATGGGATGGAGGGTTGAAGTGAGCCAGAGCAGCTCTGTGGTGAGCCAGGACTGTGGTGAGTCTGCTCCTGGGGGTTAGCATGATCCTGGTGTTGCTCTGCTGCGTTCTTCTGACTGTACCTTGGCCTGGCACCACATGGGACCTTTGTGGACCAGTAGCAGCAGGTTTCCTTTCTGCTCTCTTCCGTCAGAAGTAACCTATTGGGTTTGTTCCTTTCCAGGTCTCTTCACACTCCTGGTTGAAGATTTTGGTGAGTGCAAGAAACGTTCCTGGGAAGTCAGTTTTGTGTTTAACGGTGTGTCCATTCTGGTGGGTTTTACACTAGCTTCTGCTCTTTGTTTGCAGGGGTCAAGGGAGTGCAGGTTGAAGAGATTTATGATCTGCAGAGCAAATGCCAAGGGTAAGTCACAGGTGTGAAAGCGTGAGTTTTATTAAGCAGAATGTGTCACTGCAGAAAGATGGGGCTGGTGGTTCTCTTTTCCTCTCTGTCTTTGCTCTGCTGTAGTTTGACATCGAAGGTTGCTGGTGCTGGGCAGTGCAGCCCCACTGGTTGTGGTTCATCCAAAACGATACAGCTGCTGACTTCTCTCCACAGCCCTGTCTATGGGTTCATCTTCCTGTTCAAGTGGATTGAGGAGCGCAGGTCACGCCGGAAGGTCTCTACCCTGGTGGATGAGACATCGGTGATCGACGATGACATCGTTAATAACATGTTCTTTGCTCACCAGGTAGGCTGGAGCCAAGGGGAAGCATGTGGGTGTCTCATGCGACACCTCAGGGAAGCGATGTGGTGCTGAGGGCAGCTCCTCTTTCCTGAGAGTCTCTGCCCTGAGCTCTAGGTTGGAGGGACTCCAGGGAGGGCTGCGAGCTCATGGGGCATGGTGAACCCTCTAAACAAGACTACCCTCCTGTCCTTTGAGAGCCCAGGTCAGGTCACTGCTCTCACAAGTGGTACTTGTGCCAGTACTTTTCAGTTGATTATTGTCAACACGGGGGGTTGTTGAAGAGTTGCCTTGTTCCTGCTGGTTAAGAAGGTCCTTGTGTCACCCTCCAGCTGATCCCCAATTCCTGTGCCACCCATGCCCTGCTGAGTGTCCTCCTGAACTGCAACAATGTTGACCTGGGCCCCACGCTGAGCCGCATGAAGGATTTCACCAAAGGATTTAGCCCTGAGGTAGGGGCAGGGATGTGCACGAGGAGCACATGGGAATCTGCCTCTTGCTCCCCTTGGGTTGATGCTCTAATGGACTGGCTCCTTTCCAGCCCTTTGGCTCCTCACTACATCACTATTGCCTCTTCTCTCCCATCTTCCTGCTTTGCCTTGTGCAGGGCCTTGGTCCCCTCACACTGGGCCCAGCTCTGAGCTTTGTGTTGTGTTCTTCCCTAGCCTAGGTGCATTCTCTAAGTCTGGGATCGAAGTTCCTCTCTCCTACCTTCAGACATATCTTGAAGTCTGTGTTTCTGACTCTCATTCCTTTAGCAGAAATTGTCTGTTCTTTTTATCTTGGGTTTCACCTCAGCAGAGCAGAGGGAGTGCCTGAAAGCTGCTCTCCCAGTCCTGGGAGGGAGGGACTGGGGAGCCACTGGGTGAAGCATTTTGTTCATTTCCTATTACTTCTCAGTTGTTTTCCTTGCTGTCGCTGCAGAGCAAAGGCTATGCCATCGGCAATGCCCCAGAGCTGGCCAAGGCCCACAACAGCCATGCCAGGTGAGTGAGGGGGGATCTCCAGCTGACTGCTGCTGAAGGAAGCAGGCTCCCCGCTCACCTCTTGCCTCTCGTGCCCTCGCAGGCCGGAGCCACGGCACTTGCCAGAGAAGCAGAATGGAATCAGCGCTGTGCGAACCATGGAGGCTTTTCACTTTGTCAGTTATGTCCCCATCAAGGGACGGCTGTTTGAGCTGGATGGGCTGAAGGTCTATCCCATTGACCACGGTAAGAGCCTGCCTGTCCCTACAGTTGAACAGACACCCTGGTTTGTCCAGATGTATGTGTTATGGTGTTTGTGGAGAATCACTCCAATGGCTTTGTCCTGAGTTTCTGCAGCTCACTTTGGAGCCTCTGTGCTGGGGACTGTGTCCGGAAAGCAACAATTTCTAAATGCATTGCATTGCGTTTTCCAGCCTTGCCATTATCCTCCCCAGTGGCTCAGGGTCACAGGGTCCTTCTGCAGCTCTGACATAACTCTGTATTGCAAGAATCTGTCTCCTCCTTGTTCGCTTCATGTGCCAAATAACTGCTGTGTGTTGAGGCACAAGGTCCCACTGCAGATCCCAGCAGGCTGCTCTGGATACTTTGTTTATTTACGACTTGGCTACTCAGATCTGTCTTCCAGACACAACTTGTTACTGCTAGGAATTTACTTCTGTCTGTCAGGCCCTTTGGTAAGGTACCCACTTGATGTGCTTGGATTACTTAATCATAGCACCAGATCCAGTGGCAGGTGGATCCCAGCAGGAGCTGGGATCTCCTTGGACTTTGGGAGCCCAAGCATGTGAGCCAGTTGTGGTCGGCAGGGTTCAGAATTTGCTTTTCTGCCCTGCAGATAGCTCGTGTTTCCATTTGGAAGGCAGAGGCAGGAGGTTCCACATATGGGCTGAGAGCGTGGTGCTTCTGCCACCCAGGCTCCTCTTGACTTGCTTGCTGGTACATAAGGGAGCTGTTGGATTGCCTGTGGTGTGGATGGCAAGATCTGCTCTGCGTGTTGGCAGCAGGAGCCTGGCTCTGCCTTGTTGAGTCCAGCTCTTTCTTGTTCTCACAGGGCCGTGGGCTGATGATGAGGAATGGACGGACAAAGCCAGGAGAGTAATCATGGAGCGCATCGGCCTGGCCACTGCAGGGTAAGGTCCCGGGCCATGGTGCACGCACTGGCCCATTTTTCCCTGGATTGTTTCTACTGTGGTCTCTGTGCAACAAGTTGTGCAAATGGGGGTGGAGAGTTTTGCCTGGGAGAGGTGCAGGTGTACTGCCTCTTTGCCTTCTCTTGCTTGCAATTTGACTGCCTTCAGAGTATGTGGAGAAGCTATACGCTTCGTGTGATGCAGAGTCCATGCAAATGGATGCGAGTGGTCAGATGAGGTCCCTGTAAACTAAAGTCTGTAGGAGAAGGAATGGTGCTACTGGTGCTGAGCTGTACCTCTTGGATGCTTGGTCTTGAGGGTAGCCAGGGAGGTTCTAGAGTCTCTGTCCTTGGAGATACTCAAAGGCCATGTGGATGTGGTCATGGACAACCAGCTCCAGCTGGAGCAGGGGTTGGAGCAGATGAATTCCACACGCCACTTCCAACCTGTGAAGGGTGCTTTGTGTTATGGCTGAAGCAACCTTGCTCTGCTTCTTCAGTCAGAGTGAGGTTAACTTAACTTTGGGGGAAAAGCCTCCTGTGTGATGGCATTAGAGGCCAGGGCAGGGGAGGTGCTGCCTGGAAGGAGGTGGCAGGAGCTCTGCAGGGCATCTCCTTGCTGGTAGCCAGACTGATGTCTACTGTCCCTTCCTGCAGGGAGCCCTACCACGACATCCGCTTCAACCTGATGGCCGTGGTGCCTGATCGGAGGATGAAGTACGAGTCCAAACTCCACATCCTGAAGATGAACCGCCAGACTGTGCTGGAGGCCTTGCAGCAGGTAGGACAGCCCAAACCCTAAGGGAGTGTGAGCCTGAGGTGGGAATAGGTTCTGTTTCCAGGGCATCTCCACGTGCTGTGGGGGCCCCTAGATTTTGGTTTGGTTTTTGTCCTTGGGAAATGTCTTCTGGGAAGAGGAGATAGCCAGCCTCAATGCCTGGCCTTTGGCTGCTCACCTGGGAGATTATCCATGGCATTGTCCATCGGTAGTGCACACCCTCATGAGTTCTGCAGAGCTTGAATGGGAGGGATGTGGCTTGGGTCACCCCCGGCCAGTGCTCAGTTTCCATCTGTCATTTGCCTTCAAGCTTATCCGAGTAACTCAGCCTGAGCTGATCCAGACTCAGAAGTCTCAGGACTCTCAGCCTCCTGAAGAGGTGAAGCCAGCCAGCAGCAAGACTGTGACCCTAGAGAGCACCCATACAGGTACAACCCCCGTCAGTGTTGTTGCCAGCCAGCCTGGCCTGCTGTGGTGTGACAGTGGCTGTCTTGACCTGGAGCTTGAGGCAGTTTTATGGTCAGCTTTGCTTTCTTTTCTCCATGCCCAGCTCCATGCACACGGTGCTGGGGTGTGGTAGATGCCTCTGTGCTTGGTAGGAGAATTGTAGGGACGTGGAGTTTGGAAATGGGAGGGCTTAAGATTGGGGACACAGGTGACAGCTGGAAGTGGAATGGGAAGTGGGTCTGATGGAGTATAAGAGCTCTTCTTTGCAGTGGGCAAGGGGTGGCAGAGGACATGGAGTAAAAGGTGATGGTGCTGGTCATGAAAGGCTGTGCTGTGTTTGTGTGGCAGATGGCACCGATGAGCCTGCCACCCAGGGCCACCTTGCGGCCATGCAGAGCCCACCCACCAAATCCAAACCAGTGGCAAAGACATCAGCAAGCAGCATCAATGGGGCACCTCCAGGAAACCCCAACCCCATCGTGCAGAGGTTGCCAGCCTTCCTGGACAACCACAACTATGCCAAGTCCCCCATGCAGGTAGGCTGCAGCTCCAGGCCAATAGCGCCTGACTTGAGCTGAACTTTTTGCTCCCAGTCCCTCACCTCTGGGGGGCTGTGGCTCTTGACTGGTTTAAGCCCTTCCCCTGCCTTGCAGCCTGCCTGCCCTTGCACTAACCCAGACTGGGAAGTGAGAGGGCAAATAAGGACTGACCTGACAGAAGATGTTAATATAAGTGGGGGTCAGCTGAGAAGCAAGGGAAGAGTCCCCTGTCTCCTCTTGAAAAGGGCACGCTCTGGTGTTTGGCTGGACCAAGGACATGTCTGCTGGGCTCTTCCCCCTTCCCCCGCTGCCAGCAGGCCATCAGCAATGGTGTTTTGCAGGAGGAGGAGGACCTTGCAGCAGGAGTGGGTCGCAGCCGGGTCCCAGTCCGACAGCACCAGCAGTACTCTGACGATGAGGATGACTACGATGATGATGACGAGGAGGAAGTTCGTAACACCAACTCAGCCATCAGGTGACTGAGCTGAGGGCAGGGAGCTGACCTTAGCAGAACTGCCAGTGGTGACTCCCAGATCTCTGAGAGCTGATAGTTGTGTAGAGCCTGTGCCTGTGTGTGCAACTGGGGCTGTTCTTTCCACCTGCTGTGTTACTGCTGGATTTTGTGAACCTCTTCTGCAGTTCTTCACTATCAACAGTGAATTTTGGCTGCTCTATCTATAGCTGTTTATTGGCAGCAGGCTTTGAGGAACCTCTGTTCCCCAGTCCAGACTGCCAGATTTGTTCCTGGTGAGTGTTGGTGTGCTTGAACTGCTGTGAAGGTCAGGAAATGGGGTCACAGCGAGGGTGCTTTTGGGGCTTTTGGAGGAAGAGTAGAGGTGTGTTCCAGCTGTGTAGGGGTGCCCACAGCAGAGGGGTTCAGTTTTGAAGTGCTGCCAGAGAAGCAAGCGGCAGTGGGGGCAACCAAGAAATATTTCCTGCCTTGCTTCATGCCAGGAGACAGCGAATACTGATGAGTGTGAAGCTGACAGTGGCTGTGCGGGGCCTCCTTCCACCAGGTACTCACCTTCCCTCCTGTGTTCGTGGGCAGGTACAAAAGGAAAGGGCAGGTGAAGCAGGAGCACATGGCAGGGGCTGTGGATGGCCAGCTCTCCGTCCTCCAGCCCAACACCATCAACGTCCTGGCTGAGAAGCTGAAAGAGTCTCAGAAGGATCTTTCCATTCCCCTGTCCATCAAGACGACCGGCGGGGGTACTGCTGTGGCGGTGGTCACCCACTCCCAGCCCTCTCCGACCCCCAGCAACGAGAGCACAGACACGGCCTCCGAGATCGGCAGCGCCTTCAACTCCCCGCTGCGGTCCCCCATCCGCTCGGCCAACCCCACGCGCCCCTCCAGCCCCGTCACCTCCCACATCTCCAAGGTGCTCTTTGGCGAGGAGGATGGGCTGCTGCGGGTCGACTGCATGCGCTACAACCGCGCCGTCAGAGACCTGGGGCCTGTCATCAGCACTGGGCTGCTGCACCTCACGGAGGACGGCGTGTTCTGCCCGCTGGCTGTCGCAGGTAGGTGCCCGCCAGCTTTGGGGGTGGTGGCATCTCCCCTGGGGTGACTGGACGCTGTCCTTTGACTTCAGGAGTGGATACCGGTCCTTTGCCGTAGCTCCTAACGCTTCCTTCCCCTGTGTGCAGACGGGGGGAAAAGCTCCCCACCTTCCATCAAACCTGGTGATGAGGCCCCGATCACAATCAAACTGGACGAGAAGGAGGGCAGTGAGGCCAGTGACAGCAAAGAGAAGGTGGGACTTGGCAGGACCAGTGATCACCCTGGGGGGGAAAAGTATTCTCCCAAGGTGAGTTTTGTGCTGCGGCAGCCCTGGGGACATGGAGCCGCAGCAACGCTGGCAGTGACTGAACCGCATGTGCACGCTGTCCCGCTCGCGTCGCCGCAGCCGCGCCTCGAGGTGCAGGGCAGAGCAGGTTCTGTGCCTTGTGTCACCATGGGGATGTTTCCCTCAGCAAGTGGGCAGAGCCGCTGCCTCCTGCAGCCGAGATGTCCGGGGTGCTGTGCTCTCCTTCGGGCCAGAGGGACCCTGCACCCCCAGGCCCCAGCCTGCTGGGAACTTCGCTGCTTGTCTGTGCCCTCCAGCTCAGAGCTCGGGTAGCACAAGTGCACCAGGGGCACCCTGGAGGAGAGCTGGCGAGAAACTTTTACTCAAAAGGGAAGTTTGCAGCCTCAGTGCAGGCTGATTGAGCACCCTGACTCAGAAACTCACTACAATGAGCTGGTCTGTGGTTTCTTCCCCTTCCCTCGCAAGTATTTTTTGGTTTTGATGAATTCTCCCTTTCCCAGTGCAGAGAGGAACATCTGCCAGCTCACCCCGCTGGCTCCTGGGCTGCAGCAGGGCTCTGGCTGCTGACATTTGCTCTGCTTGGTCCTGGCAGGAGCTGCTGGCACTGCTGAAGTGTGTGGAGGCAGAGATTGCGAACTATGAGGCCTGCCTGAAGGAAGAGGTGGAGAAGAGGAAGAAGTTCAAGGTGTGTGTCAATGGCCTGTTTGTGTTGCCAGTTTAGCTCCCTGAAGGCTCAATCTGGGTTGTTAAGCCAAAGTGGAAGCAGAGTGTTCAGCTGAGAATGGCCCTGGGGAGCATGTGGGACCCTTTCCTATTACCAAGCCACCCTATGGGGCAGAGCTCCTGCCAGGACAGACTGAAGGCCCTGGTCAGCACTGATGAGCTTGAGGTAGGTGGAGCACTGCAGCTGGGCCACAGCTTGACACAGCATTGGCAGGAGGAAGCAGGGATTGTGCTTCAGGGCCTGGCAGGATTCCTCCCCTGCCCATGGTCACCTCTTCCCAGCTGTCCTTTGTGGAAAATGCTGGCACCTGAACTGGGATGGACACAGTCCCAGCTGTGCATTGGCCTGACCTGGTGGGGAGGTGGTCATCCTCTTCTGGTGTCTTTGGCCTGGGAGGTGGGTCCTGTCACATCCATTCTTTGTCCCCGTTAGCCTTGAGCTCTTCTTCCTCCCTGACACCCATGTGTGGATTTGTCATCTCTTTGTAGATTGATGACCAGAGGAGAACCCACAACTACGATGAGTTCATCTGTACCTTCATCTCCATGCTGGCCCAGGAAGGTGAGCTGTGCTCTGTGCCTGAGGGGATGGAGCATGGGGCTTGCATTCAGCTGAGGGAGCCGTACTGAGCATGGCAAAGTGGCACCTGGGAGCCTGGGGAGCTCATCCTGCCCCGCTCCCTGTTTCTGCCAGGTCTGGGGCATGCGGGAGAGCTCAGTCTGTGGAGCCACGTTTCTCTGCTCAGTGTCCTTTGGTTTGATAGTCCCAGGAGGAGCCTACTGATGGGGCCCGGGTAGGACAGGGAGGGCTGTGCTCCAGCGTGGGCAGTACCGACATGGGCATGTGTGTGCTTATCCCCTGCAGGCATGCTGGCAAGCCTGGTGGAGCAGAACATCTCCGTGCGCCGGCGGCAGGGGGTCAGCATCGGCCGCCTGCACAAGCAGAGGAAGCCGGACCGACGGAAACGCTCTCGCCCCTATAAAGCCAAGCGCCAGTAGCTGGGGAGCCAGGACTGGGAGAAGCAGCAGCTGGGCCTTGTGTCTTTGGGCAGTGGCACTTGGATCTACGTTCCCTCTGCCCAAGGAATGGGACCACAGCGACAAGCCCTCAGCCGAGGTGGAGCCTGGGGCCAGAGAGAAATCGGGTTTTCCTCTGAGCCCGAGTTGTGAAGGGCAGGAAAACACAGTCCTGAGGGGAGGCCCTGCAGCCACCAGCCAGCCAGAGCACGCAGCTCCCACACCCTGGGCCTGCGTCTCGGCACTGTGGCTGAGGTCTGGCAGGAGGGGAAGTGGCTGGTCTGGCATTGTGGGAATGCCAGCAATGCCACTGCTGGCCTGAGCTGGCCACAGGGGCTGTGGCTTGTGTCCTCAGTCCAGGCCTTCAGCTCCCTGCTTCCCCAGGACATTTGTGTCTCTGTTTTCTGACCCTCTCCCTCCCTTCCCCAAAGTTTTGATTCTGACCCCCACTTTTGGCCGTTGCTGAGCAAGGTGGCTCCTGGACAGAGCCCATTCTCCTGCCCCATTCCCAGAGCTGGCCCATGTGCAGCCAGGCTGGTCCTGCTTTGCCCTGTTCCCTCAGCACTCTGGGTACACAGCCCCCCTGCCACTGCAGCCTGGCTCCTTGCGCCCTGGGCAGCTCTGGTGGCAGGTGAGGTGGGGTGGGCTCATCCCTGGAGCTGGGCCTTGGCCCCAGCACTCTGTGTGGCTCTGCTGCCATTGCTGCTCTCCTGGCAACCAGTTCTGTGGGTCACCCAGGATTGCTCCAGGCCCTGTCCTCAGAGAAACCCTGTGAATTATAAACAAACCAAGTTCATGGGGTGGCTTTGGTACTGCTGGGCACAGCGCTGGGGCAGGTGCTGCATGTGGAGTCCCTTGGTGGCCTTGGCAAAGCCTTTGAGCATGGGGAGAGGCAGCTGGTTACTGCAATGCAGAGATTGTGCCAGCCAGAGGTCAGCACCTCTGGAGGTGTCCTGAGGTACAGCTGGGCTGAGGGGAGCTGCCACAGAGAGGACTTAATTTTACAAGTACAGATCTTGACTCTGGAATGAAACAGTTCTTTTGGTATTTGTTGAAGGGAAGAAAATCCTTCTGTCTCTTGCTGTGTCTAATATCGAGTGCTGTAAAAAAAAGGATCTGTCTGAAAGAATAAAGCTATCCTGTAACAGCCACCCAAGGGAGAGGTGCGTCTGTGGCTGGGGGCACTGCTCTTCTGTGTGCTAGAACCTTGAGGTAGTTGTGGGGATTGCAACACTACCAGGTGAATGTGATGCTGATGGAGCTGAGCTCCATTTATTGACAGCTCAGAGGGCAGGAGAGGGGCTGCTGCCTGGCTGTGCTGCCTCCTCTGTGCCGGACAGCGGAGGCCATGACTCAGCCTGAGGTGGTTTCCTGCCTAGAAGTCCAGGGCACAGGTCATTTGATCCAGTGCTTCTGTGGCTTGTCTGTAGGGATCTCCACAGCAGTCGTAGTTGGTGGAGTGGCCTGTTGTTGACAGCGTGCTTGTAATGGGGGAAGCAAGGGTGAGAAGGTGGCACTGCAGCCCTCATGCTGCACATGCACTGGGGAGTCCTGTCCAATTGACCCTCTCTGAGATCCCCTGTCCCATTCCTGTGCTAGGGGGCAGGCGGAGTGGGGCTTCAGGAGCTGAAGAACTAATGCTGTCAGCACAGCAAGCTTGCAGGTTTGGGCAATCAGCCTGCAGTGCAAGCTGAGGTATTTGGACGAGGAGGAGAAAGCAGTGAAGGAAGACATAAGGAAGGCTTAGATGGACCTGGAAGCAGAGATCTTCCAAATCCACGCTATCCTTAGCCAGATCAGGAAGGCTGCAAAGCACCTGGCACAGTGGCATGGGGACATGGGGAAAGGCCTGATGCTGGCACTGCTCTGCGAGGTGAATCTTGCTCCTTATATGAATCTAGAACAACAGGCCACTGACATGTCTGAGAGGTTCATGCAGCAGGTCCTACCAGGGAGTGTCCAGGCTCCAGATGCTCACGGAGCGAGTGCACAGGGAGAGCAGCCTGAAGGAAACACGCTGGAGGCTGGGACACGGATGGACTTAGACTGGGAAACACTGGAAAAAGAGTAAGCCCCTTATCAAGAGTGTGCAAAGACACCATGGGCGGTGCCACCAGCAAGCTGGGGAATACTGGTCCAAGGCTCGAGGGCAGAGCTGCTAGTGGAGGGGAGGAATGGGAGAGAGGTGTTCTGTATGTTTTGTGGGGAATAAAAAGGTCTGTAATTCACAGTTGCAGAGCAATACATAAGCTTGTCCCTGTGTGGTGAACTGTTGTACTTGATGAGTTTGCTCTCTATGCTATGAGCTATGACATTCGTCAGGCTCAGAATCAGCTTCTTTTCTCTATCCTATTCCAAGCCATTATTCCCTGAAGTCAGCCCATGAGCCATGGTCTCTTCCTCTTCTCTGCCTGTAGTTGATCTCCTTTCAAAAGAGCCTGTTGGTTCAGGCAGTCTGCTGCTAGATCTGGCCTTGTGCTCTGCCGCCAGTGTGCAGGGTTGCATTGTGGTACTGCCTGATGCCTGGCACCATGGGGTGAGCCCTCCTCAACAACTTCTCTGGCACAATTGAAATGACACCTAGGAACATCCAAGAGCCAGTTGCTCCCTCTCTGCCCTTCAAAACTCTTTGGTTCAGGAGTGAACCTGAGAAGCTGCACAGGCAGATGCCCACACTGTCAGCCCAGTGAGATGGATGGATGGATGGGTGAATGGATGGATGGATATGTTGGAAAAAGCTGGAGACGCTGCAAGCCTATAGAAGAGGAATAGTTTCAAAGGACCAGACGCAACTCTGCCACCCTCCCCCCTCAACCCACTTACCTCAGTAACATCACTTTTGTTGAGGCTCCTCAGGCTGGCAAGAGCAGTGTCCAGGGCTGGGAGGGCTTCATCCAAGTCCTTCTGAGCATCATCTGCAATGGCTTGGGCTGCCTGAGCTTTCGCTTTGGCCTCCATCTCCTCAGCCTGCACAGCACTCCTTGTCTCTTCCACTCCTTGCTGTGTCCACCTGCAACACCAGAGACAGCCTCAGCAGCATGCTGGAGCCAGAGCACCCTTTGGCTTGGCTCAGCACTGCTAGACAAGGATCGCAGCTACCCTGGTAGATCCCGTGTTGTTCAGCAGAGGCATGGTGGGGCCTAACTGCTGGAGGGGATCCCCTTCCCACATTAAACCAGCAGCAGGTATTTCCTCAGCCTGTAGAGACCATCCAGCAGCTGCAGCTCTAGCTGTGCCTGGTGTGGTGTTAGTCCTCCAGGAATTAGCTGTTCTACCCATTTTCCCTACTGGTGAGGGGAGAGGATGCATAGGGATGCAAATATGTAGGGACATGGAGGAATAAGAAGATATGCTGAGGGTTTTGTTTCTAAACTTGTCATTTCTACCTACCCACAGGGTTAAAACACTACCAAGTGGTGTAAACGGAATGTGGAATATAGCCAGATCTGTATCTGCTATGTGGGAGCATGGGAGATTGCAAGCTCCTTCCCCTTTGCATGCAGAGCTGTATGATGTTAGTGTCTCTGTTCCCTGTGTCTGGCCATCTCATAGTAGGACACAGGCAGGAGCACAAATAGGAGGGAAGGTATGGACAGCCAGCATAGGACATTCTGCAGTGGGATGAGTGACTGTGTGTGGTGACCCCTGAGGTTTGGGCTATCAGGGGCAGGCTGCAGCTGAATCAGCTCCCTGGTGATGGGATGTGGGGGAAGGATCCCTTTCAGCCACAACAATCTGAGCTTAGAGCTTCTCTGGCCACCTGAGGATCGTGTTAGTAGTGCTGCTACTCTGTGTGTGCAAGGATGTAAACCAGTGAGGAAAAGGAGCTGGTGGCTTGGCTGACTGACCCATGGGGAGTGATTTCAGAGAGGGGCACGTGAGCCACCACTTCTGCTAGCGACTGGCCGGTAGGTTGTGACTGGCCCCAGCACCACCAGAGCAGGGACTCCAGCAGAAGGCCGTTCCCACTGGCAGTGCAGCTCTGCTGTGCTGATCCAAGGCCTTTTTCCTGACAGCTCAAATGACCCCTGCAAGGCCGCCCCAGCTCCTGTGTCCGGTCCGAGCAGCCGCACTTGCAGAGCGCAGGGCGGCCCCGCAGCGGTACCTGCGCTGGAGCCACGGATGCCAGCGCGTCCTCGGCGGCCGGCGCCAGGAGGGGGCGGAAGGACTCCAGCTTCTGCTGCAGCTTCGCTACCGCGGCTGCCGCTCGCAGGAGCTCAGGGGGCAGCGAGAGCAAGAGCAGAGGCAGCAGCCCCGACGAGCGCCGGGGAAAGGCTGCGCTGTCCTGGGGGGGTCCTTGCCCAGGGCCACGTTGTACAAAGCAGGTCTGGCCCCGGTCCCTGCTTCAGTAGCAGTCTGTCGCTGTGGTGCACTTGCAAACAGTAGCGCCTAATGGCGCCTGCACACGATGGCCGTTACCTCGCAAGCTCAGGGCAATCAGTCAGCAGAACAATGTGCTGTTATAGGGCTTTAATGAGGAACATCCTGCGAGAAGATGAGCTACAGACAGGTCTGTGTCCCCGAAGAGCGGGGATCATCGCTCTTTTATGGCTGTTAGACCTTCAGAAAGACTGGCTGTGGCAGAAGGCATAGCTCTCATTTGATTTAGCATCAATGTTCTGTTGAACAGGAGATGCGTAGGGCGTATCTCTGCAACTACAAATACACTGCTTAGAGTAGGTAAGGGGGGTCCAAAGTTCCCCTGGGTGCAAGGGACAAACCTTGTCCAGGCTACCTTTCATCCTCTTCTTCGCTGTATTCAGTTCCTGTTTCTTCTTTCCAATCAGGGAAATGAAGATGATGAGGAACTCGAGGTAGCTCTTGGCAGTGACATAATTGTGTCTGGCCAGCTCTCCTAGGTACACCTGGCACTTCTTTGCCATGCTCTGATGAATTTCTACACGTACTTGACTCTACAAGGAGAAAGGAAAGAAACAATCTCATTCAGTACCGAACATGTGGTAGGCAAGTCTATGTGATGTCCATAGAGAGCACAAGGGGCTTACAAAGAGCTTGAATCACAGCATGGCTTATGTATGCGTGAGGCCTTCAGTGCCATGCGCACGTCAAGGCATACAAAAGCTAACCAGTTCTGTGTCTGCATTTCTGCTACAGGGTAGGGGCCTTTCCGCATGTGTGCCCTGCACCCATTGTCTGTGTGGATACAGAGGCATGGCACACTGAGCGCACAGGAGCTGTTTTGAGTGTGGCACCTACCATCCCATTGACATTTTCCATACTGGCACCAAGATGTGGGATCTCAAGCAAGAAGGAGGAGCCCACGACTGCAGGGTCTCAGCAGGCCACTTATTAAACCAGTTGATGGTGCAGCAGTTCACAAGAGAGGGGAACTGTCTCAAGCATGCACGGAAGACTTCTCCAGTAGGGCTGAGGGAAAGACACATGCAGAAATGAGCTGTTATAACTAGGTATACATACAAGGATAAAATAGCTTTTCTACTTCCCTAAAGTCACCCTGGACTCTTACAGAGTAAGAAGGAAGGGAATATACCCAAGGAAGAAGAAGGAGAGAGGCAAATAGGGAATGAAAGTTCAGGCAGTGAGCTGCATGTGCATGTCCAAAGGTGCATGTCATAGCTCACTCCTTGAAAGTCCTGGGTATATTCTGTGAACATTACGATAGTAGTGAGGTGTTGTTTTACAGGTCCTTCCCTAGGGAGTACACTTAAGGGGTAAGAAATACATGTGATCTGAAGTCTATTTCAAGCAGGTGAGCACAGAGATTGCACTGTCAGACCAAAATCATGGCCTTGATTCTTCCACCTGTGCTTGCACCAAGAAGACCACTGTACCTTCTGGCAGCCCTCCTGCAAGCAGGCAAGCTGCTCAGGGACTGTGCTCTAGATACACGAATAAACATGGTACAACTGAGCCCCAAATTCAAGCAAGATATCTTTGTAAGAAACAGCTCAATGGTGCATGAACAAAGAGGAATCTTGCATTTAGTCTGGATCATATGAAATCATACTCTTAAAGTTTTCAAACATCATCTTGAAACCAGCCAAGTGTAAAAAACCATATTCAGTATCCTATGGGAAGATAATACACAAATTGTAGTCCAGCAAAGTCAGGGGCCTGGAAACAAAGGTCCCATGACAAAGTGATGCAAGGCAAAGGACAAGAAAGGAGTAACATTGACAGCATAGAGTCCTCCCCCTGCGCTGTCCTCATGCACACGACTGTGTGGGTACTGCTGCGAACCCGTCCTGTGTATGCAGCCATCAGATTGGCCTTGGTGGGCTGCTGCCCTAGATCCCAAACAATGGGCTTCATCGCTGTCATGATCTGTTCTTTGTCATGGAGGCTGTAAATGCTGGGAATGTCACCCGAGTTGAGCAGGTTGTTGACATCCTCAAGGCAGGATTCATTTTTAATCTAAGTAGATGATAGAGGGAAAAAAAAGGAAAAAAAGCAGTTTCCTAGGACAATCCTGTCTCCACACACCATGGAGATGACTTCTGGATAAATACAGCCATGGGCCTCTGGTGAAAGAAATCCTTTCTGTGATCATCCAGCTCCAGTAAGGCATCCTCTGAGCTTTGTTTCCCATAGAAAGCCATGTTCAGCCACCTCAGGGGCGAGGGGTCTGAGAACAAACCTTCTACTTCCCCTTTAGTGTTTCTATACAGACAAACTGAGCTCAGGGCCTTGCCCCTTGCCTCGCCAGTGACTGCAATCAGACCCCAGGTCCCATGGTGCCCTGGATCTTTGCTCCTCCAGCAGAGAACACTTCACAGTTAGTGAAGCTATTGATGTGGGAGACAGTAATTGTAGGGATGTGTCACAGTCTGTGGGACTATCTTCCTCCAGAGCTACACTCACTTCTCCACTTTTGCTAAATCAGAAATACACAGCATCCTTCTACTTGACTAAATGCACCCTCTCGTGCCCTTCTTCTCCCATACATGCTTCTCACTGCAGGGAAAAGGATGCAAGAATAAGCAGCATTTGACAGATGCTCATCTATCTCGCTGTTTAGGGCACTGCCAGAAGGGACTTGGTTCCAATAACAATGAAGGCAGTAAAAAACCCTATGAGGAACATAACCATGAATTCCAGAACTTGGCCTAGTCATTAGCAAGTTACAGTTTACAGTAACAAGCTAATGTTATCCTGTGGAACCAGCAGGTTTAAGGCCCTGAATTTACTGCTATCTTTGAAAAGAAAGAGAATGATGTTACTTAGGACTTCTAGTATCAATGGTCAGAATAGTGCTTAGCTTCAGGCAGCTGGCTCTAAAATCTTTGATCCTATCAAACCCTTGGATGGAGCTGAAGGAAGCTTCCTTGAGCAACAGAAGAATCAGCCCGCTCCCACACAGCTCTGCAGTACCTCTAGCAACATATGCACCACCTTCAGTTTCCCTGGGGCTTTTCTGTAAGATGATGAAGGTGGGCTACTGAAGAAAAACAAGTTGTGCTTGGTTTGTATCAGGCTCCTCAATCCTTTTTAGGGGGATTTATTGAGCTTCAAGATGTGTTTCCGACTCCTGTTGAGGTGGAGTCCACCATGCTAATACTCCTGTACCTGTCTACGAACAGGAAGGGCTTGGGTAGATTCTCAGTGCCTGCCTTCATCATGATCTTCTTCACATCACCTCGCCATTCAGTCATGCCATCATTTTTGGTCAGTTCAATCTGGAAACACTCATAATCTGCCCTAAAGGAAAGAGAAGCCTGTGGAGTTACAGCAAATTAAAATCTCCTCTTGTCACTCTTGAGCATGCCTTGTGGATTCAGGGGGAGCAGACTCAAGCAAATTGTTCTCCTGCAACATCCTGAGCACACGCCTGTCCCTGTGCATGTTGAGCCACCAACTCGAGAGCATGTTTCACTCAAGCCAGAGATACCCAAGCTAGCTAGAAACCAGGAGAAGTACAACTCCATGACCTAAGAGTCACGCTGCTTCTTGTGCCCAGTGCCTCAGAGTAGAGAGGGCACAACTCAACATGGCTGGCTTTTTTGGGGGATGCTTCCCTCAGAGGCTGGTGCACCTGGGAACTGTGGTTGCATTCCTCTAGGATCACACCCTGTCTACAGAGCTGGAAGAATTTTCTTCCTCAGCCTCATTCCCTTTTCCACTTAAGGCCCCTTGACTCCCAAGACTCACCAGTCCTACTTGACAAGCTGCCAGTACCACTTGGTCACTAGTAGCTCCTGTCTTTGTCTTTCTACTGCTCAGCTCCCAGGAAGAAGCCCCTGTCTATCCCCCTGAGTGCTGCACAGACCAGTGAGCTGACATGGACCGTGCTGCTTTTGCTCATTCACTGCATGCCTGCAACAACAACCCAAGCTACTAGGAGGCAAAAGAGTCCAGTTTTTCTGTTGTGGATATGGCATGTTAACTGAGCCCTAGCTCTTAAGTGTTAAATCTGAAAAGTCAGCAACCAGAAAAATGTGTAACCGGTAGCAGGAAGGGCAGGAAAAAGAGATTCTCCAGAGGCAGCCCTGACAGAGCTGCTCCACATTATGTGCATAGGAACGCATTACTTACATGTGAGATGCCAGCCTGGTGAGAGACTGTCTCCCACTTCCTCCAAAACCCAGGAGGAGAGCATCCCCTGGAACCTGCTGCAGAATCCGGCTGATCTGGCAGATGTGCTGTATCGCATCCATGAAGAGCACAAGCTTCAGCTCTGGGGTGTTGACTTGATTGTACTCCTCCAGGTAAGCCTCAATCACAGCTTTCAGCTGTGGGCAGAAAGAGTCAATTGTGGCTACCAGATAAAACCAGTGGAGATGGGATGGGTGGTCGTGAGCACAGACAGGCCTCTGGGAGAGCGGATCCTGGTGCTCAGCAGGGTCTGTGAGTAGCTGCCTGTGGGGAGGTGATGGCTCTCTTTGCTTCATGCTCCTATAGCAACTGCCATTGGGCTGAGCTGAATTTAGCCAGAGGTGGTGGCAGCAGCTGCTGAAAGGTGACCTTAAACTAACTCAGGCAGGTGACTGAGGGCTGCTGTTCCCAACAGTGCCCTTTGCTTGGAGAAACAGCAAGGCAGAGTTCAAAATAAAATAGCTTATGGCTGCCTGACTCGTGCTGTTCCAGGGCCTCCCTATGGGAGAGCTTCCCCACTCGATAGCTGACCACTGCCTGCTGCTGCATCCTGTGGTTTGGATCCTAGATGGAAAGGGCAAGTGCTGGAAGAAAACACTACTGGGTACAGGTGAGTAGAGAAGCACACTCCTCTCCTGGTCCTGCCATTGCACAGAAATAGCTGCAGGATCAGTCTCTCCTGACCTTCCCAGGGCTCTCTTCAACAACAGCCTCAAGCCAGAACAGGCGATGAAGCATGAAGACATCTGGGATTTGGTCCTACCCCTTCAGCAGGCTCACTGTGAACCTGGGCAAGTGACATCAGCTGGAATTCAGACAGTGCTGAGATCCCTGCCTAGATGCCAGTCTTACACCTGTGAGTGGAATGTGCAGCAGCTTGGTAAGTCTGGCTGTCTCAGCTGCGCTCACCTCAGTGGGGGACAGACCTAGCTACTTTGCAAAAGAGATTGGAAAGCTCAGTTGATTACCAGTGCCTGTCACACAGCTATCACAAGAGCAGAGACAACAGGATAATCATGTTTCTGCTAATGAGTGCAAAACGCACTGCTCATTGCTTTTGCTTAATTATTATTACCAAAGTACTCACAGTATCTTCTCCAAGAGGGAATCTGGCAGTAACAGTAATTATTTGTAAAGGTCAATTGTGAAGTCTTTAATTGCAAAAGTAGTATTGTTTGGGAGTAATGTGCCATCTCTTTCCAGCAAATTTCACTTTTCAGTCCCAAGTGCAGGTCATTTGGGAGACCTGGCACAGCAGGCTGCCCCCAGGATGGCAATGCAGAGACAACTTGTTCCACCTCAAGTTCCCATCACACCAAATGCAGCCACTATACGTATCTGGGGTAGGATTTCACAGGAGAGCCCTGGGAGCCTTTGTGGTTCCAGACACCTCCAATTCAAGCAGCCCCGTGGTTACTATTAACTGTTTTCATTTGTTTGCAGAAGACATGGAAGATGCAAACATAGATCACATCATAATGATTCCCACGGTTCCTACCTTTTCCTGGCCATCAATTGCTTTGTAGTTTGATATGGGCATCTGGATCCATGAAGTCCCCAAACAGAACTGGCTGGGAGGGGATGACCTCCTCAAAAGTGGTGCCTAACTCCTCCATCATACTCTTCACCAGGTGGTTGAACCACGTGCGGTCCTCCTTGCTGACCTGGTGATCACAGAACACCAGGCAGCTCTCAGGGTACCACAGTTTCAGCAGCTGCAGTTTGTCCTGGTAGGAAACCCCAGCAAACAGCCCGATGGGAGAAGCAGAGAAGTATTAAGAGCCTCACTGTCAGGAAAGCTGGTTCCTGCTTGGCACGTGGCCATCTCCACTCCTGCTAGAAGGCAGCTGGAGTGGAGACAGAACTAGGCAGAGGAAGCTGCATTCCCTTCTCCTCTCAAAATCAGCTCTTGTCAAAACAGCTGCTTTGCAGGGAGCTCGTTACAGCTTCAGCTAATCCCCCCTCTATTTGTCCATGTCAGGCTTTCTCTCAGATTAAAATTTCATGTTGTTTGTCCTTATCTTTCCCTCAGTTTGATTTAATTTTTACTGTTTTCAGAAGTGCCTGTGGGGCTTTTTGGGTTTGGTTTTTTTTGGTTGGTTTTAAAGATCTTTTTTTCAGCTGTAGCACAGAACCAGGGTCCCAAGAACTTCCTGTCATAAGTCACCTCTACTGACCAGGCTGGAGCCAGAGCAAGGTCCTAGGAGAGCTGAAGGGGCAGAAGCCTCCATTGCTACGGGCTGGTAACAGGACAAACCTCTGCCCCTGTCTGGTCCGCTATGGCTCCATCCAGCCCTGAATGGCCAAGCTATATCATACCGACTCCCTGTGGCCACTCACCTGCTTCCATGCCAAGGAGGGGCTGCGGCGGTGGGGGGGATGTCTGTGTACTACTGGTGCTAGGCAATATAGCCAAAGGGAAGGTTACCACATTCGTTGAACAGTAACAAACACAGTTCCAGCAGGAAACTGAGGCCTCTTTGTAGGCTCACCAATGAGTTCCTTACACTGGAACATTTCTGGTATTCCCCTGGGTGGCATGACTACGCTGATGGGAGGGCTCACCTGGATGGTGCTGGGCTCAGCCATGAGCATGGCCTGGAACACCTTGGAGAGGTCTCTCAGGTTGAAAGTGTAAAGTGACTTGGCTGGTGTGGGCAGGAGCTGGGATGTGCCAGTCAAATACATGCCAGTAGTTGCATCAACCAAGGGCTTGTTCAGGTCTTTCACTGCAAGTGCTCCTGCTGCAGAGACGGATGAAGGTGGAGAGGATATAAAGGTGGTGACTATGGGTTGAGAAGGTCCTGGCAGTGCAGACAGGTGGGACTGGGTTGCAGAGGTGTTGCTGGGACTTTGCCAGGAGCACACTTTTCTGCTTTCTTATGCAGAGACTATGGGGGGACCTGACTAAGCACCTGCTCACGGCAGTGGACAGTTTGCCAATGAGTTTTCTGACCAAAAAGAATCAGATTTGGAGAGGGAAGAATGCATCACAACAGTTCTGTGGGGTTAAGACTTCATGCACCCCAGGGAGAGAGGAGGCACTGCCAGACCGGTAATTGGTGCTTACCTGAACCACTCCTGAGAGGTTTTCCTTCTCTCTCTTTATACTCCCAGAGTGGAGACTCAGCTACTTTTAAGCTAGAAGGGCTGAGTGCCCTCTTACTAAAGTGCCTGGCAATTTACTGAGATCAGCAAATGCAGAGCCACTGAGGAATAATTTCTTATGCAACGGTCTGGCAAGATTTAAGCACAGCTGCCAGTTTTAGTGCATAAAATACTGTTTTTTGCTTTTCTCTCCCAGTTAAGTTTATTACAAGCAGAGGGGGGAAGCAGAGGTCTGTGACACCCCAGCACTTTGCACTTTCCAACTCTTTCCAAAAGTCTTTAATTTATTTTTAAATCACAGTTAGGTGCTTCAGTGTGCCCCAAGCTCACAGTCAGGTACTGATGCTTGTAAATATTGCAAGCACACAGAAAGCCTTGCTTTGCTTCTTCCATAGCTCACTATTCTTGCTCCTTCCTATGGGCATATTTGCAGGTGAGGGCACATTTGCAAAGATGATCCTAAATTCCACCCTGTCAAATATACGAGGACTCGCTACGCTCCAAAGGAGCCCTTTTTTTTCTGGGTGGCTGTAGCACCATGCTTGGATCCACCCTGCCCAGCTCTCCGCAGGCTGCAGCAGATGGAAAGTAACAGAAGGCTCTGCTTCCACAGAGGGCTGTTGTCTGGGTGAGTGTCTGTCTGCTGAAAGCACAGGTAAGCTATGCCATGCTGTGCCCATCAGCTTGTTCTGTTCACAGTCTCCCTCTCTCTCTGTCTTCTCTTACTTATGCACTGGATCTTTGTAACTTTTTTCTCCTAGGAGTCCATCTAGAAAAAGACAGAATACACGAGTCACAGCTTTACCTGCTGAGGTGAAGGATATCTCCATCATCCATCACAGAATCCTAGCTGAAAGGCCTAGACCATAAGATTTCTTATGAACCTGCGAAAGACAAAGCCGAAGTTTGCTGATTGGCACCAGCAGAGTTTGACCCTGAGACTAAACTGTATGAGCTTCTCTGCTCGCTAAGATTCAAACACCACTTTCTCAAAAGCATCTTCAAGCAATGAATGCAAGTTCCAGCTTCCAACACTTTGATCAGATCACCAATACCAATTCCCCCCCTTCCAACCTCCATTATTATCAGACTGACTTGCAACATGAGGAGAAGGTGGCAGCTGCTGGCAGAACTTACCCAATCCAGCTGCCAAGGGTGGTGGAGAAGATGGCCTTCTTGCTGCTGTCCTCCATTCCAGTGAAGGAGAGGTAGCTGAAACGGGGAGTGAGGCGTGGAGTGACAGCATTCCTTCCACCTCCAGGAGGCCCCATGGCACAGACCAAATTAATATCTACCAGCTTCTTAAAAGCACCTTGAAGAGTGCAAAATTAGAAATGAATGTGAAGTTGTAGCCCAAAACCCTCACCACAAATCTCCAGAGTGGGTACGCACAGAATCATAGAATAGTTAGGGTTGGAAAGGACCTTTAGATCATCCAGTTCCAAGCCCCCTGCCATGGGCAGGGACACCTCACACTAAACCATCTCACCCAAGTCTCTGTCCAACCTGGCCTTGAACACTGCCAGGGATGGAGCATTCACAACCTCCCTGGGCAACCCATTCCAGTGCCTCACCACCCTTACAGTAAAGAATTTCCTCCTTATATGCAATCTAAACTTCCCCTGTTTCAGTTTGAACCCGTTACCCCTTGTCCTGTCACTACAGTCCCTAATGAAGAGTCCCTCCCCAGCATCCCTATAGGCCCCCTTCAGATACTGGAAGGCTGCTATGAGGTCTCCATGCAGCCTTCTCTTCTCCAGGCTGAGCAGCCCAACTTTCTCAGCCTGTCTTCATACAGGAGGTGCTCCAGTCCCCTGACCATCTTATCTATCAGCATATCCATCAACAGGCCAACTTCTGCCAAGATGGCAAAGGATCTGGGTCATACTGATCTGATTCCCGTCATACCAGCCCCGGTGCTCCTTCCACTGCCGCAGCAGCTCGATGGGTGCCTCAGCACCGTATGTGTCCAGCACGGCCATGTTCAAGTCATCAATAAAAAATATGAAGTACCGCCCAACTGGAGGCCCAAACACACCCTTGTGCCTGCAAGGACAAAACTGGGTAAGGACACAGGACTATTCCTATTGCAAAGGTACTTTTAGCTTGACCCAAAAGCAGTTTTTTCTTCAGAGGCTTCCTGGGGCAGTAGTTGCAGCTCTCTACACTTTCACTCCATATAACTCTTTATATGGGTGCATGCACAGAAAAGGTCTGGTGCAAGAGTTGGGGCATTGGCTTTTTTCCAAACATGAGTGAAATTTTGCCTGCTTATGCACAGTGTCAATGAATGTCAGTGCTGTTGGAAACTTCAAACCAGTGGCTGACCATGGAGGAAAAAGGGAAGCTGTTTGCCATGGGGAGTGGGATTGGGGTCAGCAACCAAGTGTTCTCATCTCATCAGTTCCTATAAATATCCCACACCAAGGTTTGCAAACACCTGTGCTGTGAAATGGAGTATTTCTGGAATACCCAGAATTGGAGCAATTTTTCCAGACCCTCACTAATCCTTCTCACTTCATTGCAAATGTATCGAGTTATTAGGGGCTCTCACAATCCCAGCTCAGATTTGCTGTGTGCTTGGGGCCCCTTCAGGTCTCAGGATGAAACTAAATGGCTAAGTTGATAGAAACACTGAGCTCAGGGATGCTGCCTTTGCAAACACAGGAAGGAAACCTGCCTTTTATCCAGTTTGCTGTCAATGAGATCTCGAGTTTGGTTAGCAGAGGTATGTGGCAAAAACATCGGGCAGTGGGTAATGTATCTGAGAGGCAAGTTCTTCAAAAGCTTGTCTGTAATTGTGAGTCTTCCCTGTGCCAGTGGGACCAATGCAGAGAACTTAGAAACACAATCAGCAGCATAACTACAGCTATACAGACTGTGTTTCTCAGCTCTCTGGCATTTGCTGGAGGAAACGCAGTTACTGCTCCCTTAGGCATTCAAAGGCTGGGAGAAGACAGAAGGCTTGCTCCTGACAGCTGTTCAACAGATCTCCTGGTGTGGAAGGAATCCAACCAGAGAAGTAGGAAATGGAACTCTAGGAAACAGGTAGAATTTGATGGGCTAGAATTTGATGGGGAGCAATCTAGCAATTGCTGCATTTTGATTGAACGCCTGAGTGTTGACATTCCTTTGCAGTGCTGGCATGGTGCCTGGGGGCTCAATGGAGAGCTCTTGTTGCTTAGGCACAGCTTTTGAGCAGAGAAACACAAATCCATGGGAGCGGGAAATAATCTCCAAAGTATGAGGTAGCTGTTGATGAGAACAAGGATAACTCTAAAAATCAAAGATAAGGCTGGGCACATACTGGCTTATAGTTGATGAGCAACAGCTCCAGCAGATGGGCCGTTCGGCCTGTGTTCGTTATGGGCACAATAATGTCACAGAAGTTGGTATCAGGAACCATGGTGAACTCTGCTGTTGGGTCCAGCCACTTCTCCCAGCACACCTGAAAGGTATGGGTGCGTTCAGAGGGGGCCATTGCATTTATCCTCTATAGGAAAACTGTATCTGCTGTGTTTTTCCTGTCACAGCTCCTTGCGTAGTAGCTCAGATTCTGATGAGGAATCCAGGCTTCCGGTCCCTCTGTCTAGTCTTGTCACCCTCACCTTTCTGTATGGCAGTGCTGTGAGGCTCTGACTCCTTTCATGTGGGAGGGAGGTAGCCCAAAGGTCAGAGGTTATTGCCCCAGCAATAATATACTTGCTCTCCCTTCTGAAAACTGGGATCAAAGGAGGACGGAGCACTTGCAGTACTTGCACAAATTGCAGTTCTGTCCTAAGCTGACCCACCCTGTAAGTGCCCCGTGGCAGAGTGCCACCGAGGGCTCAGCTGGGATCCCAGCTTCACATTCGGTGCCATCATCCATGTTGCATTCAAAGGCACATGGAAGTTTTGTACTTGCACAAGACATGTGCTAGAGTCGAGCCACAGGCAAACCAAGTGAGACAGAGGTTTTGTCAGGGATGTGCTGGAGAACACTGAGAAATCGCGCATTCCTGACACCCATGTGGCTTTCCACAGTGACGACACTGACAGCTTCTGCTACACATCTGATACTCATGTAAGGCTCTTTGCTTTGCTTTGATTTCAGGAGGGGGAAGCATTTTTCCTCCCTTATTTTTCCTGTGGGTTTTTTTTCCAGCCCAGAGGGTGGTGACTGTCACAGTATCACAGTATCACAGTATGCTGGAGATTGGAAGGGACCTCAAAAGATCATCTAGTCCAATCCCCCTGCCAGAGCAGGAACAGCTAGATAACGTTACACAGGAATGTGTCCAGGCGGGCTTTGAATGTCTCCAGGGAAGGAGACTCCACAACCTCCAATCAGATGGGCCCTGCATGCCCCGCTCCTCTGCTGCCTCCGGTCAAAAAGATGGCATGTGGGTCTGCCTTGCTCCTCCTCCAGACCCACCGCACACAGCTTTTCTGCTGTTGTGCACTGCTTTCTAACACCAACCAACCTCTTCATCTGAGCTTCTCCTTGTCCTCCTCCAGTGGCCACACTTGCAGAGCCCTCACGCTTTCCTGACCACTGGCAGAGACACTCAGGTCTGAACTGATCAGTGCTTGGCTCAAATCTCACAACCCTGAGGGCAAGAAATTGCCTTCTTCCTTTAATGAAAAGCTTGATTTAACTTTAAACACTCCCACTTGGTTCCTATAGGCCTTCCTTGTTTGCCCTTGATGAGCAATCCCACCAAATCCTGCAGGACTGTGTCACTTTCTAGTCCCTCCCTCACAATTTCTTGGTTTGAAGTTGTAAGTGAAATATTTGCCCTCCCTAACGACCTCCTCATCCAGATCATCTTCAGGACTGCTGAGCCCCGCATCGTTCAGTTTATAGTCGTAAACCAGTCCTTCTTCTGGGAAAAGTAACTGGATCTGTGAGAGTAAAGCTGCTGGTGAACGTGGCTGAGTTCAGAGAAGGATCTGCACTACTGCAAGGAACACTTTACTAATGGGATGCTGCCCAGACCAGTGTGGCTCAGGCCTCTCTCCCAGATCTTCAAGCTCCAAGGATCCCTTGAAGTTTGAGGCAGATGTGGTACACCAGATCCCAAGAGCAAGTCCATACAAAGCCTCTGGGCACTCAACAAGCTCTGACCCCCATTCCTCATGACCAGTTTCTCTATAATGAGAGAGGATCTGTTTTTCCTTTACTCACCTTTTCCTTTGCCATCTTCTCCCTCAGCCACAAGCTGAAGGCCATGTAACCTTGGGAATCTCCAGTAGCACCCACTCCAGATCAAGGCAAATAGAAACCAGGGTTCAATCAGCTCTTTGATATGAGCTGTCTTCTCCTGGGGAGTTGTCCTAAGTCCCTGAGGATCAGAGAAGAGCAAAAGTAAAATTCTCAGGCCCGGTTAAGTTACACAAACCCCAGCCTCCTCTTAAAGTGCTTGTAATTCTTCCAGCTTCTATGTAAGTTTTGCTAGCCAGTTTTTCACAGGCCTTGTTAATGTATTCTGTGGATTAGAACTTGCTGTTTCATTAGTGTACTTGAGAGACTCCCCTTGCTGAACTAATGTCACTCAACAGGAGCTAGGAGAAGAATTTAGTCTTTGGGTTTTAATTTGAAAATCATCCAGCCTTCTGCAATACTAATTCTCCAAAGATCTGCAGTCTGAAGTGCATCACTGCTTAGCTCTGATCTCTGCTTTCCACTCCTTCTCCAATTCCCTCTGCTATATATAAAAGTGAACGTCTTCCCTCCAGCCTGGTAGGCATGGAGCTTATCTTTTGCTCTTTCAGTGGACAAAGCATAATCCTTCCAGGTTTACCTGTGTTTTGCAGGATGTTGTATTACCTTCTGCCATGTACGTGAGCCACAGCATGACCTTTCTGCACCAACACCTCATTCTCTGGTGTAATAACCAACACTTCATTCTCTGGTGACTAACTCTGTGCATGGCACGATGCCCTGAAGACTGACAGGCATAATATGGTGATAGAGGTAGCAAAATCCTGCCTCAATGGGAATGAAAGGCTGAAAGAAACATTCCAAGAGCAGGAGGAGGCTCCTTGTGAGGTTACTGTCTGTTGAGGCAATTACCTCCTTCACAAACCTCCAGCCAAAGCCAATGCCTTCCTGTAAGGAGAAAGAGGAACAACTCGGTGTCACTATCCAACACGTTTGACTTCGTGTTTACCTCCTTAGGATGCTAGTTTCTCCTCATCTGCCTGCAGGCTATATTTAACAGAGAAGGTATGACTGAGAACGCTGCCATTTCCTACCGTGTCCCAGATGCCACCATTTTGACTGGAGAGAAGCGAGTCAAACCCCTTCAGTTCAGTCTTAACCCCAAGAAACCTCTGGGCCTGCCTGCTGGTTCTGTGCAACAATGATGTGCATCTTGTTCCATCACTGCTCTTAAATCATTTGCTCCCTTCAGAGCTTTCCTTTGCAGCTCCATGTTATTCAATAAAATAGGAGCAGAGTAGAAAGAACAAGACTTGTTCTTATAACTTTCTCACTGGAGTTCTCATAACTTATTCCACTGTAAGCAATGGTGCTGCACCACTGACAATTTTGTCCAGGAGATAATTTTACAATTAAATAAAACCATAATGACCAAAAAGACTAAGTCAAATCTATAGGGGTCAGCAAATAACCCATATTAAACCCAGGAAATTTACATATCAGTTTGTATACTGGTAGTATGAAGTGTTTAAATCCAGGCCTTGACAAGTCTGGGCTGATTGATAACTGAGCTGACAACCTCCAAGCCATGGAAAGGCTGGAACAGTAGCGTTGCTCACCTTGAGGAATCTCTTGAAGAGAGATGATAGCTGCTGTGAGAAGGGCTTCATGATGCCTGGAAGTTTTTGCAGCCAGCTCTCAATGAATGGCTCCAGCCCCAGGATGCTGGGTTCAAGGTAAACCATGCCTCAGTGAGACACTGTGGCAGGGGAAGCAACAGCCAGATCCTGCACTTCAAACATCATGGTCATACACTGGGAACTGCAAAAAGAAAGCAAGGAGGATAAGGACTTGATCGCTTCCAAGATATGTTTCAGCATAATTTGGCAAAGATGAAATCTTTTCCTTTGTTGCAGAGGCCCTTTTTGTTGTTTCTGGGCAGCTCAGGGCTACTACTGAGACACCAATTTCATACAAGTCCACCACAGACATCAAATGGAAAGTAAAAGGCAAACCTGTTCCAAGAGAGAGGAAGGAAAACAGACAACAGGCAGAAAAGCATAAGAGATGAGTTACCTCTGACAGCTTGATGATTTCCCCTGAGCTCAGGCACAACTTCTTATTGTCATCTAGCACTGTGTTCATGTGCTCAATCCACAAGCATCAACCGGGCCGTCAAACATGTACCACTTCTTGATGGTGTCAGTGGCCACAGCTCCCTGCTGGATGAGTGAGGAAAGGATCCCATCTGTCCTGAAAGGTGGGAGGAAGGCAGGGCTTGGCCCATTCTGGTTTTGCTGAAATCCGTGGCAAAGCTTTCACAACCTAAGGCAACAGAGCTAGAATCTTACCCTGGCTCCTGTGCCCAAGGATATCTGTGCCTCACTTGATGAGCTGCCTAAAGGTCCATTTTGTTATTTCTTTTACTGAGACATACATCTCAGTCTGAGTGACACCATGAAACAATTTCTATGGGCATTAGGATCTGTATTTCATGTCATCTAACTGTAAAATGTCAAGTTTCCCTTTAACATCTCCACCCTCAGTGAAAAACAAAGAGGCTTTGCTAGCATCCATTTCAGGTCATAGGTGGGTTATCAGCTCTCTGTGCCTCTTCTCCACCAGGTGTTTCCGTTGGGTAACTACAGGTTATGAGGATGAATCCAGGCTAAAGAGCATGACTCTACCCTCTCTACAACTGAAATTCCGCATCCTCAGCATCCATCACCAGGTGATGCTGGAGATGGTGAACAGGGGAGCAGACACAAGGAATGCTGGCTGTTTGCAGCAAGAACTTAATCTGTACATGGAAACCTGGAGTGCAATTTCCATTCAGGCCCTGGACTTTACTCCCATTATTAATTATTTGTTATTTTTATAGTGCTTGTCAGTTCTGGGGTATTGTTACTGAGATCAAGGGAAAACAGTCTGTTCAAAAGCTCAGCTGATCAAACCAGATGGATTTGTCTGTAAATATGTTTTACACGGCTGCTGTATTTTTCTTTTTGTCATGCTGACATGTCTGTGTGCTGCCCTTGGGTACAGTCACATCATAAATAAACTGTTGAGCTTAACTGGAACATCCTAGAGAATGCCCCTCAGTAAAGAAGCACCAGAGCCCAGGGTAGGAAGCTCTGAGTCTCAGCATCAGCAGTGCTTATTTACTTGCATTTTTCCTAGAGGTAGTTAGTTTCACATTTATTTAGTTTCCCGTTTCACAGACCAGAGTCTTTAGCTTTGCCCCTAAGCAAGTGGTGGGTAACAGGGCTAAAGGGAGATTCACACTGCTTCCCACACCTTAGTTTCTGGATAAAGCGAGCTGCAAATTCAACCCGAGGTCACACACGGAAACATAAGCAGTAAGACCTGGCTATCAAGAGGGCAAACAGGCTATTGGTTCTTGCTTCTAAAGTGTGTAAGCAAGCAGGAGCCCTGGTAACAGCAATGAAATGCCTCTTTATGTCTGAAAGTCATTCCTCCTCATTCAAGGCCACCAGTGTATTTATACAGAACAATTCAAGCGCTTTTTTCAGAAGTAAAGCAAGTGTTTTTAAGTTGCTGCATCTTAGAGCAGGGCTATGTGCTTCAGAGCAATTTAATTCTTCCTTGTTATGCAGTTAATGCTGCTTACTGAGCTGCAGTAACTGTCTGGGCATGTGCTGGCAGCCAAGCCAAGCACACAATAGAAGATGTCAGCTTAAATAGCTGTGACTGGCTATTGCAGCTTGGTGAGGATAAGGACTTGATTGCTTCTGGTTTCATGCCACTACCCTAAACAGTTCTCAGCCTTGAAGAGAAGATGCTCAAGACAAGAAGAAAACTGTTTCCAGTCTGGAAAGAAGGAAAGCAGGTTTTGTACTTTACCACTCATGCGTTAGCAAGCTGAACTCTCCATAAAGCTGGCCCATTGTGATGGATTTGGGATTCAGTACAAAGTATCTGACTGCCTCGTAATTCCCACCACTTGCTGCAGGTTGACCTTTCAGTGATGTCACTGCAGCTGCCAGGACTTGGTAACTCTGCAAAAGCAGGAGAGCAACAGATTTAACTGCCATGGCTCCTCTGGCTCTCACAGCAGTTGCATTCAAAAAGCAGTGAAAAAGGAGATACAGTGAAGGATAATATGACAGTAAGGAGATGCCTGGCTGTATTCACAGAAAGCAAGCATTCTAGATGAAGAGGGGAGGAAGTTAGATCTCCTGTCCAAAAGGCCTGAAGCATCTCAAGATGTCAAAGCATGTCTCAGCCTTAGAAATCTGCAGCAGAGCTAATAAGCCTCAGTCTAATCTCCCAACTTGAAAGAGTGAGCTAGTAATATACTTCCCCATGGCTATAAATCAGTACCAAAAGGCATCATCTTGGTGCCCTGACTTTTATCTGAGAGAAGCTGGAAATGTTGGAGAGTGAGTCTTCTGTGAAGCTTAACCCTCTGCATCCATAGCTAGGCGATGGTTTACTGGTGCCAGCAGAGTCTCACAACCATACCTTTGTCTTACCAGAACCCGTTGGTCCCACCAGCATAAGGCCATGTCAAACCATAGTAGCTTCATAGAGCTGGATGCACTTAGTCACAAAACCTGCAGAGGAAGACAATGTGGAGCGGGTCTGGAACCTGCTGTCTCTTTTCCTAGGGCAGAGGACTAAAAGCCCAGGCGCACAGGGAGCTTTTTTCCCCTCACCATCAGTATCCTCCAGGTTCTCTTTGATGCAGAATTTGTGAATGGCTTCTTCCAGGAGGCCGTAAGCAACAAGCTCTTCTTTGATCTTGGGAAATAATCTGAGACAATACCACTGAAGAGCATGAGGTCATCCTTCAGGAATTTGGGTACATTGGCATTCCTGATAGCCCGCAGGCAGATCAGCTCCTGCAAAGATTTAAGAACTCAGAACTTCAGAGATCTCACCTCTCTTAGGAGGCTGCAGAAAAGGCCTAATAGGTCTGTGACAACGTGAAGTCTTAGCACATTTACCTCATCCACAGTAGGATTCTCTCTTTTTAGGTTGCCAGATGACAGTTTTCACAGCTCTCATCCCAAAGTCATTGTGGTCCTGGGAAAGGTACAGAGAAAATGACATCAGATACAGGAGCACCACCTAAAATAGAGCGAACCTATGCATGCACTCAGTTAGCAGGTAAGAAAAGAAAAATGAGTTATGCCTTCAGAACAACTGCTTCCTATCACAGTTTGCCCTCAGTATCCTTCAAACAACTAACTAGTCCTGAGCTGTACAGACTACAGGTGAGGAAGACAAGAATATCTGGATGATAAAAAATCCTAGATGGAAGGAGAAGTAGGCAGGGCTGCTTAGCTCAACTGTCCTGCCATTGTAATTCTAACTAGCACTGCAGCTGAATGCAAGTCAAGCCACAGGAGGAAAAATGAAAACCAGAAAGGAGGGAGGTAGATGAAGAATGGGTACTGTGACCTTTTTGTGATATGCAGTTACAAGGCACTGGGAGAACCACCCAGGTACTTTGTGCCTAGGCTGAAAATCTCACATTTAAAAAGACATTTATGGGCATTAAGGCATCTACCTGGGAGTTGAGCTGCTCTGACAATAGTTTGAATGTTGTGGTGATCTTCTTTGCAAGGATTTTGGCTTCATCAAACCCAAAGGCGTAGAGTGACATCTCAGCAATCATGGAGTAATCTGGGACCATCATAGCCACAGGAAGAAAGAGAGCCTGAAACATATGATTCCAACACAAGATTAACACACTTGTTTCCTGCTTTTTCCAGCAAACTGAGAAGGCTGGGTATCTATCCCAGGCTGTTTAGAGGACACAGCCCGAGCGTGCCTGACACCTGTGAGGATAGCATCCCTGCAGACTGCTATCTGAGGAGCGTCATTTGCTTACAGATGTGATTCAAATCTCAAAATGATCCTAGAAACCTTCCAAAAGCATCACTTCCTAATCCTTGCCATGGACACACCAGTGGTCTGGGTAGCATCCAGCACTTCTACTGCCTGCTCTTCTTTTCTTTCTGTCTATGCAGTCTGTCCTCCTTACCTTCGGGTTATCGGGCAGTTCAGTACGCCCAGCATACCCTGGGTTCATTGTGATGAAGAGTGCACAGGATGGGACCAGTGGGATCTCTGCACCTTCAACATGAAGCAATTCACCTAGAAAATTAAAAATATCATCCTCCTTGAAGAGCAGAGCCTGACCTGAAAATCAAGTAATATAGCAGAATCTTCCAAGAGGAAAACAATGGCTTCCAGTAGTTAAATGATGAAGCACGGACACACAGAGGTGCCCACAACTGTAGTGACTCAATGTGGGCCCACTGCAGGAATCTAGTATTACCAGCAATATTTTTCACTGTTTAAGAAACTGGGCTCATGGAAGATTTACTGATAGGCTTTTTCTTTTTTTTTTTTCTCTTGAACAGACTTTTATCCCTCCAGCTGTAAACAAACATCTTTTCATTTATTCTGCAGTAGAGTTTGGACCTGAATTAATTTGTGGAAGAGAGGGTAAAGAGAAACGTAAATCCTTTTCAAAGCTGTGTAGGTAGTAATTTCAGATGGGGGATAAGGTAATGCAGAAGAATTCATGGAGAGCAAGTTTCTAATTCCAAGCCAAAGTAAAGGAGATTCAGGTCTTAACCCCTCTGAGCCCCCTGACAACAAAGCAGAGGATGGCTGTTAGACTGGCTGACAGCCGAGTCTCCATGGAAAGCCGAAAATTCACTTTACATTGCAACTCTGGGCATGCCCAAGTATGCATTTTCCTGAACACATTGGGTTTTGAGAATCCACTAAGGCTTTGGTAACTCATTTAGACAAATGTGGTGCTGAGCAATTCATGGCAGAACACGGACTGTCTTTATCTCAGCTCCAATTTGTACCAGTGGATCTGTATTGGAGTGTCTCCCACACCAAAGTCTGCTGGCACTGCAGCTCAGGCTGAGATGTACGTGAGCCTGTGCAAGCATGGGCAACTACGGTAGCACAGACTAGGGTGAAGTTACAAAACCCAGCCAAGGTACTAACTGTGTAATGGCCTGATGTGATGCTGCCAGCTAGGGCATTGCTCATGCTTCTCCAAGCTCAAGTTTGCCTGAGCTGCCCCTAAGCAGTGAAGCTAGTCTGAAGACAAGGACTTGCCTAGACTAGCTCAAGTCGAGATTTTTTGTCTGCCCTTGCATCTACCAGTTCATTACATACCCTCTGCTGCTGTGCTTTCTGAATGGTTGTAATCTGCTGCACCACCACAGACAGCACCTCGATACCAATGAGGTTGAACTCATCAAAGCAAGCCCATGTCTCAGAGCTAGGCGAGGAAGGAAAAACGAGGGGAGTCAGGAACATCTTACAGAAGAGGACTTGCAGTCAAATGTTCAGCTAGATCTAGAAATTGTAAATTCACATACTGGGGAGGCAGCACAGAGACAAGAAATGAACCTAAAAGGCCCCTAATGCCCCACAGCTACAGTGTACTGGCACAGTGGAAGGGCCTTTAGCCCTCACCCCAACTATGCATCCCAGGCCATGGGTGAGTAAGAAGGCGCATGGCCCCTGCAAGTCCATGGCAATGACTGCTCCTACAGCCTAGGACAAATTCTGCATGTTAGAGATTTGGGCTTGAAAGAGGTGTCATGTTGAATTCCTGTTTTATACCTGAGCTGTAAGTGTAGCAGACAATTTAGACATCTCTTAAGTCCATTTTTCAGAGCTTGGATCACTGGGTATAAAGCTGGAAGCATGTATATGAGGAAGATGATCTTTCCACAAGGCACAGTTTGAGAAAGAAGTTAAATTACTGGCAAAGAAAACATCTGAGAAGAGTATCAGCTTTTGTTGGAATAACATTCAGATTCACCAGTGTGCAACAGACTAATTGGACCAGCTCTGTTTGAAAGGTAGCGAAGAGAGAAACTTCTCTGAGAGGATCCCTCAGGGCTTAGAGCAGTCTCTCTTGGCTGCTCAATTTTGGATACACTCAGCAGATTCTCTCTTTCTTAAGATTAAGCAGCTTGTAGGCTGAATCCCAGTCCAACATGTATGATATTAAAACAAAGGCCAGAGCTGCAAACACTTGCACAGGTGGATTAGTGCGTAGTGGATTGGCACATTTTAAGGCATTTTAATTTTGCCTTAAATAAACAGGATCTCTTTTTATCCCCCTGCCCCCTTTTTGTTTTGTTTTAATTGGCTCAACTGTCACAAAATTCCTGCCAGAAGGAACTTTGCTCATTCTGGAACACAGTAACCCCCTTACTGCTGCTTTGCTTATTCTTCTGGGTTGCTGTGAATAATACCCACCACTTCCCAGTGGCCGGCACCCCTGTACCCGACCCACTCCTCAATAATGACACTCAGCATTTCATCCTACCTGGCTAGTCCCTTGAAAAACTTTCCCATTGCCAGAAAGTCAAGCTGGTCAGAGCAGTTGAACACTACAGCTGGGATTGCTAGTGCTTTGCCCAGGTCTTTTGTTGTTTCTGTTTTGCCTGGTCCTGCTGGTCCTGCAGGTGCTCCTCCAAATTTCAGGTGCAGAGCTCCTGTGTGTGTCAGGTAACACCTACGACAAAGAAGAGACCAGATGATGAAAAGCATTTCTGCTACTGGTTTCAGTAAGGGAGACACATGATCCATGCAGCTGGAGACAAGCAAGAATCCATCCTTTATTACTGGAACTGCTTAGATATACAGCATTCTGCAAAGCAGTTAGCTGCGTGGCCTCGATTAGTATTCATCTGGGTCTGAATGGATAAGTCCTTCTGCCACCAGCTACAGAGAAAAAGGACAGTTACAAACAGGTAAAACTGTTATTGCTGCTGCATATTCTAGGGTATGAGATGTCCATATCTACTGGTTTGTAGAAGAGCTCCTTGGCTACCAAGAAGACATTTTATGAGAGTCAGAGCACTACAATGAGGGGAATGAAAGCAATCAGTCTGAGCACTGATCATGAGGAATACAGCAGAACCAATGCCAGGGTGTTCCTGTGCCCTAATCTCAGTTAGTCCTTTACTGTACAAATGGTTTCTATTTACACGCATTAAGCATGGTCAGATTCCCAGTGAGGCTTGTTCATCCAGGAAAAAGATCTACTTATTACATAGAAAATAGTCTCCTTACCTGTCAGCAAGGGGTATAATAACCAGATGGCCAGTGTTCCCCAGGTGCTCGTAGCCATAGAGAAATTCAGCATTGACTGCTCTCATGTACAGGTCGCCCTTTGTCCAGTAGTATCTAATGATGAGTGAACATGACATCAGAAAGATAAAACACTGGCTGGCAGACAGTACAGCAGCTCTCAAGACTACAGCCTGTAGGTTTAGAGACCTCCTCTCAAGGAGGAAATCCCTTGATATGCAGAAAGGATAAAATAACACACTAAGATGGACAGGAGTTCTCACAGGACCTGAAATTAGGTATTTGTCCTGGGTTCAGCAGTAGCAGTCATTTTCCTCCTTCTCAGTAGCTGGTGCAGTGCTGTGTTTTTGACTTCCGGCTTGGGAACAGCGCTGATAACACCGATGGTTTTAGTTACTGCTCAACTGTTTGGTCTGACCAAGGACTTTGTGAGCCTCATGCTCTGTCAGGGAGGAGAGGAAGCCAGGAGGAAGCAGAGACAGGACACCTGACTCAAGCTAGCCAAAGAGGTATTCCATACCACAGCACGTCATGCCCACTATAGAAACTGGGGGCAGTTACCCAGAAGCGTTAGATCACTGCTCGGTCAGGCTGGGTATCGGTCGGCAGGTGGTGAGCGGTTGTGTTCTCTTCCCTTGTTATTTCCCTTCTCATTATTATCACTGGTGGCAGCAGCAGTGGTTTGTGTTATACCTCAGTTACTGGACTGCTCTTATCTCAACCCGTGGGAGGTACATTCTTTCAATTCTCCTCCCCATCCCTCTGGGAGCAGAGGGGAGGAAGTGGGGGGAGTGAGCGAGCGACTGCGTGGCTGAGTTGCCAACTGGGCTTAAACCACTACAGTATTATATCAAGCATCGCACTCCTTGGGCAAGAGCATGCCCTTTCACAGTGAGGCTGTGAAACACCGTGGTATAGATTAATCCATATTGCCAAAGTGGGTGCCATCAAAACCAGGTCTGTCTCAGATGCCTTACAACCAGCATCCTTAGCTGACCTGAATCCCACTCCTCACAGGGATGTTAGAGGTGACTCAGGAATACTGCTTACAGACCATGCAAACTCTTGTTTGCATTTGTCACGGACATGGCTGATAGGTAAGGAGAATGAAGACTGGTCAGGAAGGCCAGGTAAAGTTCAACAGCTATGCTCTTTACCTGAGTTGAGAGATCTAGTGCAGTTCTGGTGTCCTCAACATAAAAAGGACATGGAACTGTTGGAACAAGTCCAGAGGAGGCCACGAGGATGATCAGGGGCTGGAGCACTTTCTGTATGAAGACAGGCTGAGAAAGTTGGGGCTGCTCAGCCTGGAGAAGAGAAGGCTGCGTGGAGACCTCAGAGCAGCTTCCAGTATCTGAAGGGGGCCTGTAGGGATGCTGGGGAGAGACTCTTCATTAGGGACTGCAGTGATAGGACAAGGGGTAACGGGTTCAAACTTAAACAGGGGAAGTTTAGATTGGATCTAAGGAGGAAATTCTTTTCCTGTGAGGGTGGTGAGACACTGGAATGGGTTGCCCAGGGAGGTTGTGAATGCTCCATCCCTGGCGGTGTTCGAGGCCAGGTTGGACAGAGCCTTGGGTGAGATGGTTTAGTGTGAGGTGTCCCTGCCCATGGCAGGGGGCTTGGAACTGGATGATCTAAAGGTCCTTTCCAGCCCTAACTATTCTAATCATAGATTCTATGATTCTGAAGTGGGTTTAAATGCATATCAAAGAATAGCATTCCTTCATTTCACCCCATCCTTTCTAGACAAATCATGAGGCACAGATATGCAAAGAAGAAATGCCAACATTTGTGTCTCTCTGTTTTATCCCCATCAGATGGCAGCATTGAAAGGTACAGCCTTGCTTATGTTTACATTCTCATTACAATATCCTAAACTTAGATTGTTTTGCTCTTTCTTCAGAGAGAACTGGAGTGAGCCTCTCCTTTCCCATTTCCTGAACCAGGGAGTGTGATCCAGTCCACTGACATTTCAGGTTACTTAGGAAAAGCAAATCTCTTCGTCTCCAGATATTCACTTAGCCCTTTCTGAACCAGTTCCAGTAGCTGGTTACATTTTTGGAGCTTCTGTAGTAGCACAGGATCAGGGCACAGAGAAATCACCTACAGACAGAATGGAGAACAGAGGAAGCATCAGTATTCTGAGCAAGTGAGAGATAAGGAAATGGAGACAATTGGGCTGCCCAGTGATGTTACTGGTAGGATTTGAATGACTCATTCACAGGAGTACTTTCACAGGGATCTGGAGAGGTGTGAGCTTTGTGGGCAAGGAGGGGAAACAGCACTTATGGATGTGACAAGCACATTTCTGGGTTCCCCTAAATACCAACATTTGTAATATGGAATACAAGTGGTGGTGGAGACCTGGGAAGCGAAGCCTGGAGAACAGAAGAGTGCAGAGCACTGCTACCAGGACACAGAAATGGGTGAAAACAATGGCTCTAAATTTAAAGGATCAGGCCTGAGAAGGAATCAAATGAGACGTATCTTATGGGTTATGATTATAGCAGAGCTGGATACAAGAGCTGTAGGAGGTAGCGAGTGTGTGCTAAGGGGAAGATAACTGGTGTGGTGGACAACTTGGTGCAAGGCATCACAGGGAATTACTCTGTTTGGGCACCAGAAATAAAGGCCAAGTTCCAGGAGGAGAAACCTAGCACACAGCCCTGGACAAGGCCTCATGGTTTAAACAGTGCTGCTCAAGCCCACACCATTACTAAAACAACAATTCAAAGGCAGCCCTCGTATGAGCACAGCTCCAAGGAGTTTGTGATACCTGCACTGGCTTTCACCAAGGTACACACCTCAGGGTTTTCATTAGCACTCTTCATGATGTCCCTCCAGTCCTTATCCACTTCCTGGTAGAGCTGGCTTTCCAATGGGAGCTGTCTTTTGATGTCCTCTGAACTCAAGACTGGCTCCAAGTAGAGCCAAGAGAGCTGGCACTTCAGCCATTCCTCTAGGACAGCCTTGTGGGAAGCAAGAAGAGCAGCATAACAGGACACCATGCTAGGAACCTGCTGACAAAACCATGCAAACTGCACACCAGAACGGGTCTGGAAAAAACCACAACACCCACTACTTCAACGGGGGTAGCTGGGACACGTGTAAGCCAGTACGAACACTCAAAGGGACTTTTCGGTTCTAGATCAAAATTCTGTGGCTGGTGTTTCTGTATTTACAGAACATAGCACAGTGCAATCCTACAGTAAGATGGGGATTTTATTTTGTGAGAAGAGCTTTTTGGGGAAGAAGAATGACAATAAAATATGACACAATCGCAGATGCAGAATCCTCTCTCCTGCCTGATGTACCTCAGCCCCAGCCTTGCCTACAGAATAAACCAGGAAAAGTTCTCTAAACAACACTCCAAATGAGTGAGAGAACGAATGAAAAGCTGAACATTCAAGCTAGACATCAGGCAGGAAACCCTGTTTGTTAGCCAAGGAGCAAGAGAACTAGGTTGAAAAAACCACCTTCCTCCATTTTAAGGCACAGGAGATTGGAAGGTATGGGGAACCTGCCCAACACTGCAAAGCAGCTCAAGTGTTTGCCTCCCTTTCAGACTTCCTTAGTCACAGGGCACTACCTCCCACCCCCTGAACACAGGCAAGCTACCTGACTTAGCAACAGGTGGGGTTCTCCAGTAATACAGGCAATGGTGTTTGCTGTACTCCATCAGCTAACCCTGATAAGCCACTTCCCAGAAGCAGATTAGTGGGCCTTTAGTGACAGGAATGAATGCAATCAAAAGAAGGGGTAGGAAAAGCAGGGTGTAAACATGGACAACACCACAGCCAAAACCACACAGTAACTAACTGAATTTTCCCACATCATCTACTGCCTTAGGTCTTATAATAGCATTTCTGTATCTTCATGAGACAAAGCAGCTCATGGCCCAAGCACACCCAGATGGTAAGCAACAATAAACAAAATAAGATAGCTATGAGTAACAGGTAACAATGCTGCTATGCATCAAAGACCAGCATTTACACAGAGTTCTTCAGGCAGATCTGCACTGGCATTTTTCTCATGCAGCAAGATGCTATTTTGCTAGCTGAGTCCTGCTGGGTGCCGAGCATTCAGGTTCTGGTTTGATGAAGAAGTGCTGGCATGGTGTGACAGATCCTGCTCTAAGCAGCAGTCTTCCTTGTGATTTCCTACACTGAGATGTGAATGCTCAGCATGGATCTCACAGGGCCTACAAGAATCTGTAAGGTCCACTTACTGTAATATAGTGTAATAGTGTAAAATAGTGTAATAGAGATGCCAGTAGGACTATTCGCAGCAATGGAACAGTCCTGACCCCACCCAAAAGTGTTACAATAGGCAGAAAAAAAGCTGGAATTTCATCACTGCTGTTTGGAGAATAAGGCTGAGTTTATCCCCTCTTTTACTACAGTCCTCCCTTAAGACTGACTTTCTCCTGATGGTCTTCCTCCCAATTCCCTAGTAGCAACTGCAGTGCCCATGTTTAAGCACTGCAGCCCAGCCCAGCTGCCTGCCTCTCCCAAGTGTGTGCAGGTAAGAAAGCAATACCTGTGTAATCTTCAGCTTATTTTCCCATGCGTTCATCCTTTCCTCAAAAGGTTTCTTGAATGGTGAGAAGGACATGCTCTGAAGCAAGACAATGTGATCATCTAGGAGCCCAGAAACTTCCTCGGTGTTTTTCAGAATAAACGTTCCCGTGTAAGGGTCCACAGCAAAAAATACGGAGTTCCATTCACGCTCCATCTTGTTGAGTGCCTGAAACAGAGGGACATGCAATTGAATTTTCAGATACAATGTGCAGTGGTTATCCCAGCTTCTAGAACTCTCTTAATGCCCCTCTCTAGCAAGTGAGAGAATTTTGCTCTTGGATTCCACTGGAAACTGCAGCTGTGTATTTAATGCGTGACATACTCAGCAACAGCACACTTCATCTGCATTGCCCACGGACTCAACACTTCAGTGCTGTCCCAAAAGAAACACCTTGAGGGGAAAAAAGTGCAATTTCATCTCCAGGCCCACTTATGCTACTAGATGCAGAGAGGCAGCCAGCAAAGTGCCTATTAATGATTATGGTTAATGGTAGCTTTGTGAAAGGGGCAGCTATTCATTGGGAACTTGCCTGAGATTTCAGAGAACAAAAGCTGCCAGAAGGTAATGACTTTCAATCAAGACCTTAGGTCACATCAGAACTGGTGAACTGAAAGACTAACCTATGAATCTCTAGAGTCAGCAAGTCTTCCCTGGACATTTACTGTGTTAAAGGATTTGCCACCTCCATTTCCAGCCACAACTAATCTCCCTGATGTAATGTTTGACTGGCAGAATGGCATTCAATTTATTTTAACAGTCACTAATCTCATAGTGAGGCGTCAGACCCAACCAGCAGATCATCAGGCGGCGCCGTTATGCTACAACTGAAACTGTGCAAGGTGAACTCAACTGTGTGACCATTGCTCCCCTCTTGAAGCACAGCAGTCTTTTTACTGTTGCTGCAGAATGTGTCTCATGCTCTGGGACAACAAGAATATCACCCAAGACAACAACTACTTGCTCAACAGAAACGTATTTGAGAAGCCACCAAAGACTCAGCAGCCCCTCTCTCCTCACATTCTCAATGGCGTATTCCTTGCCAGCTGCCTCAGCTACTTTGCTGATGCTCTTGATATGGTCCAGCAGGTTCATTTCCAAGCAGCGAGAAACTGTCAGACTGGGATCTATCTTGATATCCATCTTAATAGATTCTGACAGCATATCCCAGTGCCGCTCTCTCATACCAGGATTGCAGAGCCCTTGAATTAAGGGGACGTATAGCTTGAATTCGTCAATCTTGTCTCGAAATTCCATTGCCACACCCTGGCAGGCTTTCAGGGAGAAAAACAGAACATCATCAGCAACAATCGTGTGTGAAGACGTTGCCTTAAGGAAGTTCCTAGAAGTTGTCTAAAGCCTGATGTGCTTGTAGATACACGGTAGGTAAGCAGCATGGGAGAACACTGAAAAATGCAGGTTGAAGTAACGAGGACACAAAGGTGCTCTCTAAGCACGGCTACTAAGCAAGGATTCAAGCCCACTCCCAGAAGCCAGAAGTCTGTTACAGACAAGTTCATGCTAAGCAGAACTGTTCCTTAGCCTAGAGCCTACCAGAAGATGAGAAGCAAACCAATTTAGTTCCTTAATATGGGCCCCAAGCATGACAGAGTCCCCTCTAACAACTGGTATTTCAGAAGCTCTGGTCATCATTCCAAAATCTTAACTCTCAACCCAAACTTGTTAATAAACTGATAGCACACTCCCCTAAGTAGAGGATGGACACTATGTCTCAGAGATAGAAGTAAACTAGGATCAGAGCCAGCTATGGACATGGAAAGCAGGCAGGAGAGGCTCTGCTACCCTATGGCCACGTTAAAGTCAAAGGTACTTCTGGCTCACAGAAAGGACACAGTCAAGGAAAAGGATTTGATCTCTGGGGGCATTCTGGAAGCCCACGTCTCTACACTGTTCACATCCTGCCCTTTTTCAGCTTGTGCTATTGTGAATAAAGCAACGGACAGGCAAAGAGCACAGGACTTGATTCCCTTCCAAAACCTGGCTACAGTATGTGCCTCCTTTTATTGCACCCTGTGTGGTTGCACCACACAAACACAGCAAGGATTTGAGCACCTCACAGTCCCCGCTGGGTGGTATGCAAAGAAAAGGCAGCCTCAAGGATGAAGCTCATATTTAACCAGGTGCCAGGGAATAATGAAATGAATATAAGCAGGTATTCTTAGTATTTCTGTTTACCATAATGATTCATAGTTACTCATGCATCCACTCATCACCTCCTCCATTGGGGCTGATTCATGGCATTGTTTAAGAGCAAGTTCAAGTTAAAAAGGATGAATCAAAACTCTCCCACTGCAAAATATATTTCAATCTAAGCCATCTGGCAGGAGATTTTAGAATTAGCTCTAGAGAATGACCAGCACATCTCTGAGAATCGTGGAATGGGAAGTTAAGCTACAACTGAAGTCTCCATTCCAGCTTTACTAAGAGGCATGATTAAAAGACCTTCACGTGAATAGCAAGGGCTGGATGTGATCATCTAAACTTCACACACATTCAGACAGGCAGGAAAACAGTTATTACATTCCAAAGATCATTTCCAGATTTTGCAGTCTCATTTTATTCATAACGAAATCAAGAGCTCCTCTGGCTTTCCTCTAAATTCATTGGCCAATAGAGAAAATAAGATTGGCCAAGAAGATGGCACCCAGAAGACCCAGAGTCAAGCTCCTTTGCTGCCTGACTTGCGTAAGGGCTTAAACCCACATGTCTAGCCAGTGGGCTACATAGTGATTCTCTATGACTAATCTGGATTCTTTTACTTCATATAAATAAGTAAATATTAACTGCAAAGTAAGAGGGTGGCTTTTATTTCAGTACTGTCTGGGGAATTGGGTATAAAAGGGATTTGCAGCCTGATTGTTTCCATGTCAAACTGGTACTTCAAGCAGCAAGCTAACATCTAGATGTGCATCACCATAGCTCCAGACAAAAAGTGGAAAATGACTGCTAGCATTTTCTCAACTGACTCTAATACACACAACACATCTATGCAACACCCTGACAATCCCTGTCCAGAACACTCTGTGACATGCCTCACAAAAAATGCTGATATGCCCCAACTTCCAGACCATTTGTCTACCTGGTGAATCCTTGAACTGCCTCACGCATCTCTGCATTGTCTTAAAAGAGTCATTGACAATCTTTTCTATCTGCTCAGAATCAATTTCCATGAGAGGATCACTCATCCATTTCTCATGCTGATGCATCCAGTCTGACACTGTTGTCCAGAGGTCATGGTATGGCTGGAAGTCCTTAACCATCCTGGACAGCCCACTGTACTTTGGAAAGAGAGAAAAAGCAAGCATAAGCGACAAGTGTATTCTGCTCAGGATGACAGCTTTTATGTCAAAAGGCAAAAAAAGGCACAATTGTTTTCTGGATCTCCAACAAGCAATGAGAAAATGTGCACTTCAAGAGACTGGCCTATACTACATTTTCCTGGGACCACAATGCAGATTCCAAGGGAGAGCAACTAGCAGAGCTGGGCTTCACAGTCAGGCCAAAATGTATGTGGTGGAACTGTGCCTGCACCATTTGTCAGGCATGACAAGCACTCTCTTGCTTCTGCACATGCTCTGCTGCCGAATGAGATTTTGATGGGCAGTTCACACACAATCAGTGACAGCACACATGCTTTCACTGCGCATCATATAGAAATCATATAGAAATCTGGCTCCTTACAGTGAGGAGAAGAAACCACAGACTGAAGGGTAGAGGAAAGGATCATGTGAACTATACTTCTACTCTGCAGCCAGCCTGGGCTGAAGGTAGATGATAATGATTCATTGGCAGCTGAACAGCTACTGGCAAAATGAGTGTTTGCAACTATGTGAACTGCTGCCTTAGGAGAACACTCCACACTGGGAGCCCAACCAGCTGCCTGCACCTCTATGTAACAGCAGTAATAGCCTCACAGAAATCGATGCATCTCAACCGCTGTTTCAAGACAACCCCAATGCAATTTCTCCTCATTAACATCACTCAGATCTAAGCATGGCCACACAAAGTCTCTCACGGTGGCAGTATCAGGCACATATGCAGCTTTCCACATTTGTCTGGCATCAGATCTTCTGTGCCACAGTGGAGTGACGGAGCACTGTGGTCACCCTACACTCTACAGAGCACCTAATCAGATAAATCAGCAAAGCATGAAGGATTCCTTCCTGAGGAACTGTCTCATGATTTGCTCTACCACCTAGAAAACCCAACAAAGATTAGAGTCCTGTAGGTACAGGACCTGACACTTACATTAGTAACTTTGATCCCAAAGATTCTTTCCCTGTTGTTGTAGACAGCTGCCAAATTCTGAAGCTCCTGCAGCTGCTTCCTGACCTCCCTTGCTTTGTTAGCCAACTCATTAGCTTGGCTAGCATCTGCCTGGATGGAAAATCCACCTACAGTCAGCTGGAAGAGAAAAGGCAGGCATGAGATGAGGGTCTGAAGCTGAGTACTGCCTCTGGAGATCTCAGCTTCCTGGTGTGCTTCATGGAATCATAGATGCTCTTTGTTACATTCAAAGGCAAGATTTTTATGCTCAGAATTTCAGCTCCCCAACCCAATTCCACTTCTGTTTAGACCACCACGTAAGCAGTGAGAAGCTATAACCACTGCTCAGGTGGTTGAAAGTGCAGATGTGATGACCAGATGCTTTCGTCTTTGTGACAATAGTTAATCCCTGAGGAACCGGAGCAATAAGTCTGTGCCCAGATTTCTTGCCACAGCGTTTATGCTGTCATTAGTTACAGAATCAGTGAAGTGAAAGCAATAGCTCCGCTAGGTCCCTGGGTTTGTTTCCAAGAACTGTTTAACAACACATACTCAGAGCTCCTCTAATGACTTCCCTGTTCTGTTTTGGTTCCTTGGTTTTGTTTGTTTGTTCAGGGGATTTTTGTTTGTTTCTTTTTTTCAAGCCAGTGTTGTGGTATTATCATGCTGGGAGGCTATTTCCAAGATAATCTATGTCACTGACTAAAGCCTTCCCAAGACAACGTTTTTTCTCTGCATTTAAGAATTTCTAGTGAAAAAAAAAATAAAACTTGAACCGTTTCAGCAGAAACCAGAAACCAGCTCAAAACTCTGCCTCTGTTTCAGGGTCTTTCACATGAGTTCCCTGACCAAATGCTGTATTCTCCCCCTTGATGGCAGCACATCATGGGAGATGCTCTGCAGGGAACGGATTACAGTGGTAAGAAAAAGGAGGTGTATGTGTTGCCCAAGCACGGGGAACTGGAGTATTGTATCTTCATGAACACTTTCCCAGTGAAAACTCAGTATTTCTGCAAACAGTATTGCTTTTTCCACAAAAATGAAACTCAATCAAAAGCCCAACTTCTGATAAATTACAATGGGTGTGTGTGAGGGGGTGTGTGTGCGTGTAATAACTTTTGGTCCAACAGTATATTGACCTAAAACCTAATCTGACTTAAATATCATCTGAAAGTTTCCCACCTGGCCGACCACAAGAGCTTCAGGGCGCCCTTCTCTGGACAGTTTCTTGTCAGGGGCTTATTTACCTTCATCTCCTCCAGTTTTTTGTGAAAGCTGCTCTGATCCAGGACATGTTTTTTATGAAACCTCTTTGCATCCTTCTGCTGCTGCTGCCCAAGGCACTCAGCTTGCTTGCTTATTTTCAATGGCCAGTAACTTGCAGCCCACCTGCATTCACATGGTGTAACAAAACAAACAGCAAAACCAGCGAGGGAGAGAGGGAGAGAAGCTTTTAGAGCATATGTTTGAAATGCTGCAAATAACAGAATGAGAAAGCCAAATCCCACCAAACAAGGCAGCCTTACAACAACAGCAACACATGTGGTTTCAACAAAACATTTTTTCCAGCTTGTCTTGTTGATATGCAGTCCTTGTGACTAGGCTATTCAATTGGAGAGGGCTGCGGAGAAGTGGAGGGGCCTTTCTAAAAGGAACAAATCCACTATGTTGCTGAAAAGCTAGGAGACTGCAAAATAACAGTTGGCATCCAGAGGGAATGTCTGGTTTTGAATGTATTCACAAGGAACTGAAAAAAATGAGGTCACAGTCTTGGCTTATGGCTTTTCAGGGCTACTGAAAAAGCCAGTCTCCTGTTGAGCAGGGCAGTGAGGGGCCAGGGTAACCCAGATACAGCAAAGTCCTGGCTAGGCTCCTGCACAGTGCCCTGGGGAGTGCTGTACAGATACAGGAAAGGCTGCACAGAGTGGCTGCTCATTCCAAGGCAGGCTCCTTGGCTCTTGCTCAGCCATAGCTCATCCATTACTTCGGAGCTATATGTCTATCAAGGGCTCTGCATTGCCATTTGGACTTGTTAGCTTGCGTGCAATGCCAGATGCAAGCTTTGCAGCATTACACTCGAGCTCACACCCTTTGCAGTGCCTGGGAATGCAGCAATCTCCTACTAATTCTACATGTGCCAGGCCTGGTCAGTGGCCATACAGTCACATCCATGCTAAGGTGTCCTAGAGCTGAGCTGCTCTCCTGGCTATTTTGCACTGTGTATCCCATGTTTCCAGTTTCAGGCGCGCTCTGCAGAAACTCACTCAAGTTGCAGACACGTGGGACCAAGTCCATGCTATATCAGAGTCACATCCAGGGCTGAGCTGACTTCAGAAGCTGTGTTGCTGTGTTTGTGAGCTGCCTCTGCTATTGGGGCACATGTAACATAACCAAAGATAAAACTAAGGGGAGACTGCATGGGAAAGAAATGCAGTAATAATACAGGGTTCATGTTCCCTTCTAGTCCTAAGAAAACTCTGGGAGTGTTCCTACCTTGGAAGTATTCATTCACTTTCAGACACAGACTAAACTCTGCATTTCGAGACCTTACAGATGTCTCAAAAAAAAACCAACCAAACCAAAGCCCAAGAGAAAATATCTTTAATACATTTAACAGGTTAATAGCTACCAGTTTGCCTTGCCCCAGGCCGGAAGGCAGCATGAACCCACACTTCTCTATAAACTTCATTTCAAGAATTCAGTGCTCACATAGCCTGAGAGACATTTAAAAGTTCTGCTGGAGCTCTTGCTAGACCCATAGCCCCTAAAGCACTAAGAATGGTAACTGCTGCAAAGTGTCCCACTTTGACAATGGGAGAAATGCCTTGTGCTCACCTGTCACTGAAATCTTCGTCCGTAAGGTTGTAAAAGAATTCCTCCATGATCTCGTAATCTTTCACGACTTCACAAATCAGCTTCTGCACAGGGTGAGAGAAAGAGACAAAAAACAGACACCTGTAGACTCTACTGATTCCAACCCTCTTGTGTGTACCCCATTTTCATGAGATGCCTTTGAAGAGCTTTAGTCGCACAAGCTTAATGTGATGCAGGCTACTTCTCTGCTGTGTGAACAGTGGGAAGGGATTTATAACCCCTTGCTCTGCGAATGGTCACACCATCATCACCCTCTGTTCTATATGGATGAAAAGAAATATGACCCAGTGGATAAAGTGCTGGACAGAAATTGAGTGTTTTGGGTTATCTACCAGGTCCTTCCTTTGGTATGGACAAGTGAGTTTACAGCTTGAAGCCTTTGGTTCCCATTTGTTCAGCTGGGAGAAGACCTACACTTCAAATAAATTTGAAATAGCTCAGCACTAGACTGTCCTATTAGAAGAAGTACGTTACCAGCAAAATGAGCATTTGGTAGCAGACGTATTTTCTTGAAAACAACATTAATTTTTTGAAGGCAGCTATTCAATACACAATGTGGAATGGATCATGAAGGTAGCAAAAAGCATACATAAGTCTTCTAGGCAAGATTTTTAACTGCTCTTTTGTTTTGAATAGATGTTTAAATTCATGATGTGTTATTTAAATATACAAATCCTACGAATTATGAAAATACAAAGCCAGAAATCTTATGGCATTGCATGCAAAGACATCCAAGTAAAAAAAAAAATCAGAGTTCTGCTTCTGAGACACCACACACTGCATTAACAAATTCCCTCCTCACTTCCCTTGGTGCTCCTTGCCCAGAAGAGCAAGCCCTACCTCCTGCACAGCCAGCTGCTTGGGGATGTTCTTCATCCACTCCTGCAGCTCAGTCAGCTCCTCAATATTGTTTGGTTTCTCATGCATTCTGCAGCTGGTGGCTTCATACGTGTTGCAGATCTGCAGGAGGTCACAGCAGAGAAAAGACCATCAAAAAGTCATTAACTGCAAATGGGCAGACGGGAAAACCTGCCATGATCTACCTGGTTCCCATTACAAACTTGGTCTAAAGTGATGAGTACACAGCCCTGTTCTGTCTTTTTCTTTTCTTGCTGCTCTTTGTCTTTCTCCATCTATCTCATTTGGCCTCAAACAAAATGAGGACAAAAAAAGAGGAAGAGGAACAGCAGGTATGTAGTTGAAACTATGACAATAACAGATTCAGGCAACCCTCTAGCAGATGCAATTGTCTACATTCCAGTTACCCTCAGAGCAAGCAGAAGGACCTTGCAGTTGTCTACTAGGCAGATCTTTTCAATCCACCAACACATTTTTATAAGATGTCAAGGTGTTGAAGAATTTTGTCTCAAGAGATCCAGCTTTCAGGCCCACAATTTAGTAAGTATATTAAATAATTTTATTTGGTTGAGTCTCTGTATCTTCCCCCGGTTGTTTTTTTTTTTCTTAAATATTCACTTTGATGCAGTCTTTAAAATGTCTTCATTAATGTGGCCTCAGTTGCTGTCTTTTGGCCATTGCACAAACACAGCAACTCCAAAAGCAGGACAAGACAAGACACTGACATATAACCTGTTGAACCAGGTAACTTACACTCTCCACCTGCAAATGGAGGTTTTTAGCCAGTATATCCAACATGGAAGTGGCAAGCGCTTTGTATTTTGCGGTCAGATTTTGCTTAACAGCTTCTGTGCTGACATGGAAGGGACCAATGACAATAGAAACAGGTAGAGTGCTGTTCAGGTTCTCCTTTTCTGACAAGTACATGTTCACTATATTCCTCACCTCCTGGGCAGATGGACATTGCTCTTCGTAGTCTCTGTAAATCAAACCACCAACAAAAAAGGTAAGGTAGAGCCATAAGATTACTTGAGCATCCAGGATGTTCAGAGGATGTCCAGACATGTCTGCCCAAAGGATCAAGACAGTAAAGTAATGATATGTTCACTGTTATTAAAACATGCATCTATTTGAAGGTATACAACTTTCTGTAAACACAGACTGAGAAGGTACCAATGCCTTACAGACTCTGCAACCAAAGATACACTTCCTATGTAGGCGTATCTGTCAAGTACATGAGCTCTACCTTTAACAGAGCATGAAAAGCTACAGTAGTAAAGACATTCCATGTAAAGTCCACCCATTTAGGTGACCAGCCTGCACTGAAGGCTTTGCTTCAGTGTCTCCACTGCTACAGTTACCAATGCTGACCAGAGGAATCCAAGCTACCTGTGCCTACCTGAACTGCAGCTACACCCATGCAGCAGCACAGGCAAGTCCCCAGTTCCAGAAGATGTGTATACAAGATGACATGGAACTGGTATGTAGCAGAGAAACACTATTAGGGTGCAAGGGAAGGGACAGACTCAAATCTACAACAGGTTTTAAAGCACAATAGGTTTGGAGCGGAGCAAGAGCACAAAATATTTTAGCTGCAGAAAAACAACAGAAGAGATGAAAAAGGTAGTAAGACAAGAGGAAGGGGAGAGACAAAATGAAAGCATGGGTATAAACAGGGCAAGATCAGGAGGCATCTTGGTGGAAGGCAGGCACTTCTGTGTGCTCTGGGAAGAGACAGGAATTTATCAGATAGGACTCCTAAAATAAGCCCAAATAACAAAAAAGGGCTTAATTTCCCCTGTTTGTAGAAAACAAGAGGCCTAAAAAGAAGACCATTCAAGTAACAGAGGCAGCATAGGTGCAGAGAGTTTTGGCAGTGAAAACAATGAGGCTGAAACAAAAGAAAACATTACTTTCCACAGAATGTTGTCAGCCTGAACAGACGCTATTTGAAGGAGGCCAGAGTCAAGTATGCCAACTGTATTTTCAAACAGGATGAGTCATTTTTAGGGCCATTAATATCTCCAATTACACTTGCAAACATGACAGGAATGTGACTGCTGTCAGAAGCAGGAAGAAATTCTCACTGCCATCACCAATGTCCCCTAAAAGCATGGACCACTGCCCATGGCTGAAGTCTGCCTCTCATAGATGCCTCATCTCGTATCTGAGGCACGTCACACACATTCATGGTCTCAGAACAAGTCCCACATTCTCATGCCCATTCACACAACAGCTTCTGAAAAGGCTTCCATTTGGATTAGAGGTACCTTTGTCAGAAGCCGCTTACCTTAGCAAGTACTGGATGTCATTGTTATTTAGCTCCAAGAACTTCTCGTATCTCTTGGCATAGGCATGGAGAGGGATCATTGCCATCTGAATGGCAGAGCGCATAGTCTCACGTAGTTTTTCCACTTCTGGTTCGTGCAAGCCCACTGAGTCAAGCAAAGGTGTGCCTGTGATAGCTACGTTCTCCAGCACATACTGGAAGAGGAAGGAGAGAGATCTTTCATGACCAGGAGAGATAACCATGCCTGCAAGGGGTGAGGCAATCACCCGTGGCACCTTTGGGAGCTCATGCAGTCTTTCTGCACTGTGTCAGGAATTTTATTAGCTTTAAGTTGCCCCCACTAAAAAAGGAGGCTCTAGGGAGATGGGTCTTCCACGGTAACAGGCAGGATGCACATGCAGAAGAGATCTGCACCAGACTGACAGCATTGGAAAAAGTGCTATTTCCTTTATGAATCTGCTTTTACCAGCTGCCATTCATTAGGGTAACCAGGCTACTTAGAACATGCCTCCACAGAACCTGCAGCACCAAAACAGAGATTGCAACCACTTAAAATAGCTACAGGGCTGGGGAGCTTGCAGAAATCCTGTCAGAAGAGAACAGCATTAGCACAGTGCTGAACCCAAATTAACTTAACTGGATTTCCAACTATCTACTTCTACAACTCCCTCCTTCAGTACAAGCTCAGGGGTGTCTATGCCAAACTGCAATGCACTGAAGCTTGCACAACTGTATCACTGGGGATGCTGTTCACCTTCTCCAGCTGTGGGACAGTGTGTGTTGCCAGGATTCCCTCATCAAACAGAGAAATGAGGGACTTCTCAAAGCTCTCCGCAGGGGGGCTGAAGTGAATGCCACTGGTGTCTAGCACAAGGTCTGTTAGAAAAAGTGGGTACCTCAGAGGCCTGCAGTGGGAAGAGACAAGGAAGAAGAAGGATGTTTTGTGAGACAATGGCACACAATTATATTGCTCTGGTGCTGATACTAAAATGCCTACTGGACAGGAAAGCAGAGAAGAGGTAGACTGTCCCACGCAGATTAAGGCATGAAGCACTGCATTCTGAATTTACCAGCAAAGACATTTAGAACTTTTGTCTCTGAAAGGCAAAGGAAGTGTCAATCATGACATACTAAGACCCCCAAAAGTCATAGCCTTATCCTGAGAATTGGAGCTGCTTTATAAAAAAAAAATGCAGATGCTCTTCAAACCAAGCATCCAGCATTTCAAATCTACTCCTAAAATGTACCTTCTAGAAGTTAGACACAGTATCTCCCAATCCGGTACATTACCAGTGTGGCTCAGCATCAGCTGAAGTCAGTGTCAAGACTTCCACAGATTTCAAGGTAAGAGCTCTCGTGTGAGTGGCAGCTTTTTACCTATTCTTCCTGTTTTCAATTTCTACACCTTCCTTTTTTCATACCCTAAAGAACAGAAATCTTAAATCGATACTCAGTGGAACAGAATTCTAGGTATTGTGACAACCCAAATCTGGTATTCTTTAGAGATGTCAGGCTAGATCCTACTCCTGAAACAGGCTAGATGCTACTCCTGAAAGCAGCAGCAATGCCTCCTGGTATTTTTCCTGGCCTCCAGGAAAAAAAAAAGCTACTAGTAATTATTTGCTCCTCTGCAAAAGCTGGAAGTGGCTGATCTTCAACACACTATGTCAAAGTAGCAGACCTTGGTTCCGAGGGGCTGCCTGTATCACTAACAGCAACTTGCGATCTGTACTAACAGAGCAGCCAGCTCAGTGCCATCTTCCACACTCAACCAAATGTGTCAGGTTGAGAACTGGAGGAAAGAGCCCAGCCTAAGGTCCCCTCACAGTAGAAAGCTTGCTTGTACAAACAATAGTCAGAAAGACAACGGCTCTGTTCTTTCCACCCCTTTTTTCTCTCCCTTCCTTACCTGTAGGGACTATTGATGAGGTCATCTCCCCATTTCATGTCCTGTGAGCAATTCAGGACAGCATGGCAAGCATCCAGCACAAGCTGGGTGAAGCTGATCAGTGAGTTCTGGACCAGAGACCTCAGAGAGTCCTGAAGCATGAATCTGATGCGGTTCATCAGCTTACGCAGTTTGGACAGCAGGTAGACATCCCAGTTGGTCTGTTCCAGTTTGTACCAGTCTGTGCCTGCTTCCTTCAAGTTGCTCGTTATTGCAGTCGTTAGAGTATCAATCCAAGTATCCTTGAGAAACATCTGAACCTAGGGCAGAGAAAAAAGCAAGCTGTGTAATCCCCCAGGGATGATGGGAAAGCAGTATCGTAAGGTTAGCTGCTAGCTGGGGCTGCTGGACCTTTCTCTGCTCTGAAAGGCAACCGTTCTTTCAGAGCTGGGGCAGCTAAACAGTAGCTTTCAAATCCATGCACACAAATGTGGCACCTGAACCTGAGCACGCAACTCCTCCACTGACAAAAGACCTACAAAAAAAGCACCTGATATTAAAAAGCAGGAGTGCTCTATTCTTTCTTTTTATGCACAGTGTTTCCTTTTTGTTCTCTTTTCTACAGAGCAGTATCCCCGGAGCTGCCTGTGTCAGGGTCCCTTTACAAAAGGTGGGCAGACAGTACGATGAGCAAGGAAAGGACAGAATATGGTCTTCTCTTGACAAGTGAGGAGAAAGAGGGGGAGAAGCCAAGGGCAGCAGCAGTCTGCAGTGTTTTAATTTATAAAAATACCACTTCTGCTCCACAGGCAGCTGCTGTTTGTGGCTAATAGGACAACCTCAGTCACCAAGCGGATGACAGCACTGCCCAGCTATAGCAGCATGGGACTGGGAAGGACCAGTTCATGACCTCTGCCACTAATTTAGTGTGCAACCCTGTGCAAGCTCCTCTGCGTGGCCACCTCCAGGGTGCAATGGACTGTCCTCATCCAGAGAGCAGAAAGATCTGCTGAGATTTAGCACAAAGTTGCAGAGTTTTGTTCTAGTCTGCCTGCTGTCATTGCAAGCGGAGTAACTAAACACATAAAGAACACGGTGTAGAAATGCATTACCCCCGTGAGTGCTTCAGGGGAGATAAAAGCTCTTGTGACTTGCAGCTGGACAGAGAGAGAAATAAACAAAACCAAAAAGGAAACTTTTGAGTGCTCACCAGGACTGTGAGCTGCATGGAAACAGGAGGAGGAAAGCCCATTACTGCCCACATCCCAATGAATTTGACACACATATGCAAAGTTCTCGCTGCTCCACCCACTGTATCTCATTTGAAAGCTCATCCATTTCCATCCAGGGAATTGCTCTGCAGCTGCTACATCTGTCTAATACACACTGATGGCCCTGCTGGCTGCTCCATGTGCTCACCCCCCACGCTTCCTCTGCTCACCTCAGTGAAGGTCTGGGTCTGGATCTGTTCAAATTCCTCCAAGCAAACACACTTGGCCAAGGCTGTGTTAAACAGAGACATGATGGCTACCTTGTTGCACTCATCTTGCACCTCTGGAAGGAGAAGGATGACTTCTGGCCTCTTCAAGAGTGAGACAAAGTTGAAGTCTTCCTTTTGTTTCTTAAAAGGATAGTCTGGGATACAGACGAGCCCTGGCACCGAGAAAGAACATTACTGCCTGCAACAGCCATCCCAGCTTCTGTTTAGGTGGAAGAGTACAGCTCCCTTTGGGACAGTGCTTGGGAAAAGGGCTCTCCTTTGATGCATAGGCCTTATCAGGTAGCAGCTTCAGCAGATAGCTGAGGGAAAGAGAGTCTCTGCTCTGCAGCAGACACTTTCTGCAGGCTCCCATGGGGGCTGAGGGACTGCCTTGGGTCCTGACCTTCCTACGGCTTTGGCCATGAAAAAGATCACAGGATTTGAAGAATCATTCCACCGAGGCTTCAAGGCAGAGCCGAGCCATCTCAGCTGTGAGAGGCTTCCTGGGGACCGCCTCAAGGCTATCCAACCTTGGGGGTCGTGAAGTGCACAAAATACCACCCCAACCCCTCACCTTTTACTGTGGCCATTATCCTCCAGTTTGAGACTCTGGAAAAGCCTGAGCTCTCTTCCACATCTGAGGTATGGCACAGCTGAGCCAGCCCAAGCACAGTGCAGAGCAGAAGGCAGTTAAGCTAATTACACTGCCTGCATTTGGTGCCATTAAGGGCACACCTGCAGAGTTACTGCAGATTTGCTGACGGATGATGTGTTATACTGAGGTAACACAAACATGTAAATATACCCTAAAAAAGAGCAGACATACTCAAGTCTCATCTAATCACCTGACACGGCCCCTTATGAGCCCTAGCCATTAACATGAACCTAAAAGTTTCTAGAACAAAGTGTGAATCCTATCAAAGACAAGAGGTCCCCATAGCCATGCTGAATTCCAGCTGCTTCACTGTGTTCCATACCTTTCTCTGGTGCTTTTTCCTCCTCTTTGTCTGGCAAGGTGACATAAGAAAACATCTCAGGTTTGGAAGCGACAGTTTTGTCAAAACTAATCTTGTTCAGTGTACGTTCATAGTCTAATGTCACTTCTTTCTCCAGGCAACACATATGGTCTAATACCCTATTACAAGACATGGAAACAATGATAACTCAAGGTGTCTGAGCAGAAGTACGTCTGCAGCTTTACTGCAAACCCCATCCTTCACTCCCTCCCTCCTGGATCTGCTAACCCTGAAGCTTACCTACTACTGAATGCATTAGGAGAGCTATGCAGACGATGAAGCAGCCAGCAAAGCTATCAACTAGACATGTAATGGCAGAGGCGAGTGGGAACCTGAGAACTATGACTGCAGCCTTCTCAAGTGCCTTTTCTACTCAAAGCAAAATCTCCACTGGGGAGAAGTATTACAATGGCAAGGGGAAATTAGCAAGAACTGGGGAAGCTAGCTGGTAGTTCTCGAAAAGCTGGGCTACCCAAACTGTCCTCCCAACTGCCTCTTGCTGAACACCCCTTGACATTGGTTTCGTCAGCCAGAACACGTGTGTAAGTGCTGAAAACCTGCTTTATTTGTAGGAAAAGCAAATAAAGGAAATCATCATACTCCGCCTCAAGCACACTACTCTTCTCTAAGCCTATATTTCTGCTCAGAGACTGATTACTCTCCTAGTCTCTAGCTTAGGCTGGCAGACCATTCAGCCCTTCACACCTTCCTGTCTCTGAGCAGGGCAATCAGTCATGGCTGATTCCCAGTGACACCACCAACGGCTCATGATTCATCAGTGCAGAGACTCTTAAAACATCTTCCTGATACGAACTGCATCTTAAAGAGACGCTCGATTATATCCAGGTGGAAATATCCTATTCTATCTGCTTCACCCTGTGCAGATCATCTTTTGATTTGTTTTAGCAGCTATTAATAGACAGAAGAGTCACCACAGCCAACTCTCTGGGGACAGCTGGTGGTCTGCAGATCAATCCAGCAATGACTGATCTGTTCCCTGGAAGCACAGGGAGACAGCAAGGTCAACTATGCCATTTCTGTCCAACCTTCCTGCTGTTGAATGCCACTTAATTGCAGGTCTAAGCACGGCTCGTGGATCTTCATCTGAAAAATACATCTACTTCACCTGGGAATACTGACAGATCACCCCCGTGTACATGTGTTCCTGGAGCTCTTGTCATACCTACTTCTGATGACACTCTGGGCAAGAGGGTGGTGTGCATGTGCACAGGCTGGAAGGCAGATGAGATCCACGGTCTATGAGCTGGACCCTCAAGATTTGCCTCCACTGCCACTTGTTTGTGGCCCTATAAAGTCCTACAGTGTTAATGGACTGAAGGCTGAGATTCCAGACGTGTACTTGATACCTTACCTCTTCCCTGCTTTCCTCAGTTCGGGAGTGTTCATAGCCAAAAACTTCATTCTCTGCAGACTCTCCTCACTGATGCTATTTAGACCATCCGCGGGCATGCAGTCCACATACAAGTTATAGAGAAGCAGTGCCTGCGTCTTCTTACGCAAGTTGTCAGCAGAAACTACTCTCTGTGCAAACACCCGGGGATCTTCAGCCAGAAACAACAGGCAAACACGTGGCACCCAGTACTGACATGGCAACAGCGGGGCTCTTCCTGGGAAATGAACGCAAACCTTACAGGAGTCTACAGGGAAAACAAAACTCAGAATGGCTTGGATTTCAGACAGCAGCTTTTTGATGGGCAATGTAATTGGGCTGGCCTACTGGAGATCAAACTGAAGGGCCAAAGTTGAAGACAGCAAGAGGCAAGGAGCACAGAATTAGCAGTACCTCCAAACATTTCAAGGGGGTACTTCATCTTAATCTGTCCACGTTCCCCTTCAAGATGGTATTGGCCTAGAAAGACCATCATTTAACTGTTCTTGCAGGCAGAAAAGATGGGAGACAGAGAAAAAAGAAAGATACCTCCAAAGGGAAGACCTCAAATAGGTTGTCAAATTAGGGTGTGGAGTTCTCTCCCCTGGAGGCTTTTTCTGGACAGGTTGAGCAGACACGTATCAAGAGTGGTAACAGGGAAAGGAAATAAAATGAGGTCTTGATGTCCCTCCCATCCCCACCTAAGATGGTGCACTTCAGAGTATATGCCAGGTCCCAAAGGGCCCTACTCAAAACACACCTTCTGAAGTTACTTCTCCATTGAGGCTGGGTCTCCCTTCCTCATTCCACACCACTCCATTCTTGGTTTTACGGACCAAGTAGAGCTCTGTCTTCTTGTCGTAATCCAGAACACCAACATCAATCCACTGGTAGACTAATTTTGGGTTTTTAGGGTCCTCTGAGAGAATCAAGGATTAAAACAGGCTTAGTCCATTCTCCTAGGGGGCTACAGCAAAAGGACTTCCCTGATCAGAGTGGTGATGCTACATTTACTAGTTTGAATCTCGGTCAATCTCTCGTGATTTCTGCTGCGATCAAGTAAAGAACAAACTCAGATCCTACAGCTTACTGTTTCCAACTGTTTGCACACACCAGAGCCCTTTGTTTTCCTCCTCTTATCTCTGGGGGCTCCTTGTGGACCACCTTCCCACCTCCTGCTTCAGGCACTCCCACTCACTCTTTCCAGCTATAGCCTCATATTTGGGTCCTGTGTGCCCCTAACATCTTCTTTCAGCCATACTTGGGGACTTCTCTGCTTCCCAATTCCTTCAACCCTTGATCCAGGACCCCTTATGACCCACATGGGCTCTGTGGTGATCCCATTCCCCTTCCCCATGGGTGGTCTAGCCCTGTGTCTCCACAAGCTCTCATTGGGAGTGGGTGTAAAACCCTGTATGTTCTCCTCCAATCTATTACTTCTCCAGGTCATTCCCAGGGCATCTAATTCTTGAATATTCAGATCCTCTTAAAAGTTGGGAGGCGGAGGCGCTAACCTGACAGATATATATCGAGATCAATATAGATACAGGTCAGGACAGTGTTACATTGAGGTTGAGAAGGGATGCTATTAACCACTGGACTACAGGAATTTGCAACAGCACTGGCACTATACAGACATCAGCGGTCTCACCTTCCTCCGGGCCCAGGGGTCTGACTACAGCTGCAAGCTGCACTCAGCCATCACATGCTGGCTGGCTGAGATTCCACACAGCTTCTGTTTTACGCTTAGATTTTGCGGACAGCCCTGCCTCTGGAGGTTGCTCCAGAGCTGTAGTCAATATGCATGCCAGTTCCTATGCTTTAAAGCTAGTGCATTTGTGATGGTATCAGCTGCAGCCATAACTGGACATTAGTACAGCTGTACCTAGTGATGCCTTCTCATTGGGAAGGCTCTGAATGACAGGAAAACAATGTCCACATCACTTAATTTGCCTCAGATTTACTACTTGGATTTTCACTGCTGTCTGAACTTGACTTCTGATCCTGCCCTTGCAGTGAATCCAGGCAGAACACACTGCATGTAAGTTAACCAACTTTATGATGATACCTACACATCAGTAAAGTGAAATTTTGACTGTACTGATTTCCAGGCACAGAAGCAGGAGGGCAAAAGGCAGAAGCTAGTACTAAAAATATGGAAGCAGTCAGTCCTGGGAAGGACTGAGAGTTGATGAGACCTCTGATCCCTTGCTCTGACTGCCTGAGCCTGGTCAAGATGAAGTATTGCTTTCTGCTATTCAGAGCTAAATGCATCAGAACCTAAGTGCTCCCTTTCCTGAACAGGCCTGAAACCGTTAACATTGTCTCACTTGAGCACCAAGTCATTCAAGCTTTACCGTGTCCAAGAACATCATCTGTAGGTAAAAGTGCTTGTCCAGGCACTGGCTTTCTATCATGAGATCCTGGTTCCAGTCCTAGTGAGATCCACTCTTCTGGAGTTCGACAGTCATACTCCTCATCATCAAATATCTAAAAAGCCAGGACACGAGTGAAATTAAGTCTTACTTCAGAGAGAAGAAAATACCCCATACAAAATGTTCTGAGAGGAAAATTAACACCCAGGTCCTAAATGGCTACAAAAATGGGAAAGAGTCCCAGTGCAAAAGCTGTGCTCATCTCAGTCTTCTCCTAGGCAACAATACCTGTACCTCTAGCCCTTTCCTAGGAAGCACAGATCCTAGGAAAGACCCTCACCACCTGCAGAGATCTCATGCAATAATACTGCTGACTACTGCATTGAGAAGGAAGCATGAAACACCACCTTTTCTTCGGACACACAAATGACAGTGAGGAGCACCCTCAAGAATTATCAGTTCTGATGGAAGTCGCGGGCCCCATGCAGAAGACGCTCAGCATCTTGTGGAGATTCTTCAGGGCACAAGCCTGCTCTAAAGCATTTCCTTGTTGTATTGCCTGTTGTATCAATAAAGGCCAAGCGTCCTGCAACTGTATGAACCATCCTCTGGTATCAGCAATGAGATAGATCACAAGTGCCAAATGCGCTCTCTTACCTTTAACGGGAGGTAGATGGGAAAGAGAGGATCTTTCTTATCCTCAATTGTTGGCATATTGTCAGGATCATGGTGCCTTGGCATGAGCTGATTGGAGTCTATCCCCTTGCTGGATAAAAGCTGTGCAATATCGAAGCTGAGATATAGCCGTCTCCTCCTGTTTTGAATCGGAATGGGAAATAACCACTTAATGCACCCAGAAGGGCTCACAAGCTACAACTCCACTTTCAGATCATGTATCCCTACCAGTAAAGAAGTTTTTGAACACATGGAGCTGCATACACGGCTATTTCTACCTTCATTTATAGAATAAATACCTATAATGAACATCTAGTCCAATTTATAAATTCTATACACATATATACACTATGCCAGTATTTATAATCTAGAGCATACAGCAAAACAGAAATTAAAAACTATGAGAAAAGGATAAAATAAACACTCTTTAAAAATATATTTCCTTCCTGCATCCCAATGAATTGTCTTGTGCACCCCCTGCAATGCACATCCCCCACTTCGGAGACCACTGCCTTGCAGGACAGTATTTTCCTAAAGATTTTTGACATGTCAAGTCTTGAAAGCAGAAATTAACATCCTAATCTGCTCTGTTCATTCCATAAAGATGTCTCCGGCTACTTTCTGGTTACCTACCTCTCTATGTAAATGCTCCGAGGGCACTGCCCTGGAAGCACTTGGTAAGGAACCTGCACTTTGGGGTTATATGATTGTACTGGGAAATCTGAGTTGGTGAGGTTCTCAGTGGTTGGTCCCATCACTTGCTTATCCAGCACACTTCCAAGATCCTCAGGCATCCTGAAGGTTGTGACTAAGAGACAGAGAAACACACATGTGAAACCACTAACCCTGCTTTACATTCACACACACAAGAGAACTGTGCTGTCTCCTGGGTTGTCTGCAGAAGTCATTTCACCAAGTTTATGACAGAAGTCAAGTAGATATCAAAGGGGAAACAGAAAGGAAGACCTTTTTTCCCCACTACAACATGTCCTTACAGTTTTCCAGTATCAAAGTGATGGCATAGAAAAAGCCTCCACTGAGAATTACTGTGATGCACCTTCTTAGGAGGTAGGGCACTGACCTGGCTCTAAGGAGCTCTGTTCTGGTCCCAGCTTTGCTACAGACTCTCTACAAGATCGTGGGCAAGTTACTGTCTACAGTGCATGGCTTCCCTCCCTCTCAGAAAGGGGTGGGATTCCCCCTGTGCTCTGGGGGGCCCTGAGACCAAGAGTCAATTCTAGCTGGGAGGAACTCATTTAAAACGGTGGTAAAGGAATGCTGCAGGAGAGAACAAGCTGCTCAGGTCATTTTTAGGTGCTGAAGTCCCTATTCACACCTTACTTGGGACTAACCTCCCCTCAGTTTCTGCTCAAGCAAACCTCCCACTCACATCTGCAGTGGTGTGAGAAAAAACTGAGTTGAACAGCCACCAATCTCACGATTCGGCCAAATGTTTTCAATGGAAATTGGACTAAGCAGAAAGTATACATTTCCAAGAGTTGGCTGAAACCAAACCATGTCATTTACCCCATAAATAAACCAAACTGTTCATATTGCTAAACAAGCTGCAAATAATAGAACAGCAGCAAACTGGGAATTTGAAGCTTAACCTAAATTAAGTAATTGCATGCAAGCTTTAAAAAGCACTATTCCCTAGACAGAGCTAAGCATTGACCTAAAAATAGATTTTAGTGGGGAGCTTTCCATTTGATGAACTTTCACACTCTACTGAGGATAAACTTAAGACTCTAGCTCGTAAGCAGGTTTTCTGGAGGTCAAGCTTTGGACCAGGTCCTTCACTCTGCTCCATGTGCTTCTGCTTGCATGGTGCAACCCCTTGATTTCAAAGCAGTTGTGCAGAGCAGCCAATTATACTGAAGCCAGATACATTTCAGGATGATCAGGTACAGAAAGGGTCCTCTAAGAGGTCATTCCCTTTACCCTTCTAAATGGTCCCTGACTCAACCCTTGTAGCTGTACTTTGTCTGCTTAGGGAGTAATGGAAATGGCCTCTGAACTGGCTCCTCTCTACTCATCCCTCTTAGAAAGGGTGCCTAGCTTGCAACAAATATGATCCAAACACTTGCATTGTCCATCCCAATATGTACCATTTACAACAAGGTCAAGGAATTCCTAAAATGCAGGTCCTTGGCTTCATACATATCTCTTGCTTAGGGTCTTCACAGAATGACCCTGATTAATATTTGTTGTCAGGGAGCACAGCTGTTTCGATTTTGTCACCTCCATCCATTATGGCTCTTTGTGCACTATCAACTATTTATGTCAATACTTAGTGTTTCATTTGCATTTACATTTCAGCTTGATAGCTTCTTCCCCCTTGAAGGAGCAGCAGATCATAAATAGAGATCTGTCTCCACTTGTTAGGGATGAGTCTAGCTTGTCAAGATTCACTTGAGGATGCAGTCATTTGTCCTCACTCATGAAAACAAATGTCACTTCCATGCACAGGAAGGTGGTAAATATAGTTACCATCTTTCTCAAAGACTAAAATCCTCTCACATGTATGCTTTCTCCCCACCTGCTGCCAGCTTATGATCCATATACCCAAGAATGTTCAAGGGGCCAGGAGAATGCTGGCAAACTTTTGTTTTCCTATTTTTGAGCATCCATGATACAAGCTCTCGTAAGCAGGTGGGACCAGCAGCTCTGTATACACAGAAACCCCTTGCATCTAGAGAGACTCAGCTGTTGCAGGGTGCAATTGGAAGGAGAATGAATAAATGAGAGAGCACCATGATTTTGGCTATGGGCACCTAGACTCCGAATATAACTCTCACATGCAGGTCCCAATTTAACAGGAAAGGGCACTGATGGCTCCATATGCAATGACACCACATAGAACTGGAGTGCTCTCCTGGCATACAGCCCGTAAGACCATAACGCCCGTAGGCAGCAACATGGTCCACCCTGAAGCCTGGGGGAAGTGCATATATGCAGGAAAAATGCAAGCATGGTTTTACCACCCAATCAGATCACTTTGCTCCGCCTCTAAATTCACTTTTCAGAGACATTCACGCAGCTAAGTACCATTCCTGGGCACCGAGAGGAGAAGGAAAGCAAAGCACTAATTTAGTCATCAGCCTAGCTCCCAGCATACTCATTATGGCCAGCCTTAAGAGTTATGGCTCCGTTTCCTGCCACATCACATCTCCTCTCAGGATATTTACCTTTAGGGGTGTGCTGCTCGAGGTCCGCCTCTTTTAGCAAAGCATGGTGTATTTGGGGGCCAGCACAAACATCCTGAAATGCAGCCTGTAAGGGAAGTGTCAAAGGTAACAAAGCACAGACAGAGGGTGCGTTAAAGAGGTCCAGAGAGACAGTGAGACTATAAAATTGACTTTACCAGAGCTTTAGGGATAATTGAGACTGTGAGTAATGGTCAGAAAAGTCTCAAAGAGACACAAACAGCTGAAACTTCAGCCCAACACACCAAGAGGCAGGGGTTTTGTCAGCAGAGATATCAGCTTAAGATGTGGACTGGGGCAGGCAGTCATTAGGGTTTTACTTCCAAATATCATCTGCAGTCATAACCACATGCCTGCCCTGCCATGCTGGCATCCTAAACCTGGGTAACATCATGACAGCAATAGCATGGGCCACTGAGGAAGGCAGCACAACTACCGTCAGGAATGGACTTATGGCTTCACTTTGCAAGAGTCAAGGTCTTGCACAAAGGCCTCTGACCAAAACGAAGGGCCAGGACCTCGGGTGAAAACTGTATTTCTCTATACCAGGTGTGCTATAGGTCTTTCCACTTTAGAAGGACAATGGTAGGAAAAGAATTGCTCTTTGCACTTACCCTTGAGATGCTGGAGGCTGCTGGAGTGAGGACTTCAGCAGAATACCTCTTTTGTCTAAATGCTAAGTATTTCCTTGGCCCGGGTTTGCAGCTATCAGAAACCAACAAACTTGTTCCTGCACTGCAGTCTAGGCATGAAGCCTCCCTCTTGGTATCCGGAGGCCTGGGGCTCCCACCCAGAGAACTCATCAAATCCTTCTTTGCTTTATCCATCTTCTTTGGAGAACAATGCTGTGATGCAGCCCTGAGCTTGCTAGAGTGGAAAACATTAAAAGCCTGTTAAATACTGTAACTTTGGCACTCCTCCACACCCTCCCACCACACTGGGGATGGGTGACTTGCTAAGATGAGTGGGTAACAAGGCAAGTTCAATCCCCTGCTTCAACACCAAGCTTTGCTTTCATGACCTGGGGTCCGCTGGTCTCACGTCACTGACTCAGTGATTCACTAACCCTGGGGAGTGTTTTGCTGCTCCAGATGGATTTTGGAGGGGATAAACCAGCAGTATACACATGAAAAGCTACTTTTCTGAAGCAGCAGGGGCTTCCTGGATCTGTGGCAGCATTCAAAAGGCTGCCAGGAGAATCTGAGTAAACTGGGACTACAAGAGAAATGCTTCTGCTGCACCCAAATCCCTTAAAAATCTTGTCACGCTTGACTCCAGTGGGAGTAGGCTACAGCCTAAATACCAACACAGCTACTCCCAGCTTTGAGTCTGACTCTTTCATTTAAATAATTCAGGAGAGATGTTTAAGTATTGCCTAACAAGTATCAAAATACAGGAAGAAGGTCCCCTCTCTCCTCCTGCAGGGGGCATTTTTGCTGGTGATCTCAGCACTTCCACCATGGGAGAAGCAAGTCCAGGCAAATACCACAGCTCTATGGCTTGATTTTAGAAAAGCCTTCACGTGCTGAGAGAAACTAATGAGGAGCAGCCCTCGCACTTCTGGCACGACAATAGTGCAACCCCTGATTTTAGGCTTGTCTAAACAGAGAGACGACTACTCTAAGTAATGAGTACATTGTGGCTCAAGTACCACAAGCCCCTCCAGCCTCCACGCACGCGCGCCAACATAATGATGGACACATACCTGCCCAGCTTAGTCCTATACATTATGAGTCAAAGCTCTCCTTGGGATCTCTCAAGGCTACTCCAGGTGTGACACAATTTATTCATCAATTCCTGCTCAGGGCTAGACCCAGGCTCCTCATCTAGCCCTGCCTAACGGTTTGTGTCTTCCACCCTTGCTGGGACCCACACATCCTCTTCACTTACTTCTGGAGGCCAACCCCTGCAGCAGGCTGCCACGTGGGGGTCCTCCCGCTTGCCACAGCAAAGCACTAGAAAGACCTTGCCTGGTCCTGCAGGCTACAGGTGGCACAGTACCTGTCTGGAGTCTCATCCGATGTGGAGACACTACCACAGTGTCCCTTCCTGCCATGCCCTCTCTGCTCCTGAATGGAGTCAAAACTCTGCCTGCTCTATACTCTTGGTCAAAGAGGGCAATTCTTTCTCAATTTCACCTTGTTGCCTGTCTGTGAGAATGAATCAGGTACACACAGCAGAGAAAGCATTACATGGATGCTGAAGATAAGAGGGAATAACTGTGCTGGTTTATTGCTGCAGGTTCAAGCCAGCACACAATTTTGAGAGGTTGAATCAAAAAAGAAATCCGATAATAAATCACAGTTACCATGATGCGAATCCTTTAAGTGAAACGGAGAAACGAACAGACTGGAAAGACCTGGGAGACAAGATCAATAATACCCCCTCCCCTGCTTCAAGCTAGAAAATCTCAACTCATTCTCCTCTCAGCTTCTCTTTGGCATGGCAACTGGAACCTTATACCCTGAAGAATGAATTTTCCATGGAGGATTTTGTTTTTATTAGCTATTTTATGCTCTGGCCATATCTATTTTAGCAGCCCAGCAGGGTTGATTGGTATCAGCCAAGATCCAAGGATTCCTGATGAATCACTGCTGGACTCTTTTGTGCCTGCTGCATCAGCACAGAGAACAGCAGCAAGGCAGAACAGCCCTGCAGTGGCTCTCCTGATATGTCACCTGAGCATCCTCTTCCTGGGAGCAGGGCTGAGGTGGCAATGGGACCTACCTGTACTTTTATCTCCTGGACCAGAATCTGAACCCCATCCATGTCAAAAAAGCTACCTCCAGGACTCAAAGACCCTGAACCTTTAGTAGGGCGAGTGATGGAGCCCACTTCCAATTCAGCAGCACCGGCAGTCTCTGCCTAGAACCAAAATAACGCGGCTTCTGCTGCCGCTGACGGCCGAGTGTCTGTGATGGGGGAAGTGTGTACCCAGCCTGCCCACAGCAGGCCTAATTCTTCAATGCTCTGCTCCCTGTGTGCTCGCTCACACCTCCGTAAAGTCCTTCCTGAGCATTTATCTCAAAATAAAACAAACCCCTACTCAGTGTCCAGCTCAAAAACTTCCATCTGTCACGATCTCCCAGCTGCACAGAGGGAAGGTCTGGTGTTTGTAACTGCAAAAAGCTTGACACACACCACCTAAAATAAAGAAAGAAAACAGGCCTCCAAAGTTTCCCCAGCAATTCCCCAGGCAGACAAGCAAAGCAGCTTGTCTGAGCATGCTAAAGCCAATGTAGAGATGGAAGAACTGCTAAATACAAAGGGAATCCTACTCTCCTGCCACCCCAGCTGCTGGGCTGTGGCCAGGGCTTCCAGCGAGGAGATTTCCCAAAGCATGGTGAGAAGCACGCTCTGGTGCCAGGTGGGTGCTCTCATCCAGCCCTCAGGAACAGCCTCCAGGTTGGTTTAAATGATGAGAAGAGAGACTTTCTCTCTTTTACTCACCTAGCTACTGAGCCTAGGAGTTTACTGCACAGCAATTCACTCTTCCCCAGGCTTAAACTCCACCACCACCACCTTCTGCCTTCCCACTCGCCCCAAATGATCAGCAGTGTGTAGACTCCAGGGCTGTCCTCCCCATCCTCCATTGAGGATGACCCCAGACCCTCATCCATGGGCAGCAAAGCCTGGTGTGGATTGCCAAGGCTGTCGCTACCTGGGGAAGGGAACACCTCCCATATTGCAGTGAACACACAACAGCAGCTTTCAGCCAGCTCTACTAGAGCAACTGCCGACAGTGTGGAGCAGCTCATGCTTGAGGATTTCTTCACTGCCTGAAGAAAAGCAGAGAAACTGCCCAGTGCCCTGTTAGTGCCACACTCTGGGCAGGAAGCTGGCTGTATGCCATCGAATCATAGAATAGTCAGGGTTGGAAAGGACCTTAAGATCATCCAGTTCCAACCCCCTGCCATGGGCAGGGACACCTCACATTAGACTGTATCACCCAAGGCTCTGTCCAACCTGGCCTTGAACACTGCCAGGGACGGAGCATTCACCACTTCTTTGGGCAGCTTCTTCCAGTGCCTCACCACCTTCAAAGTGAGTAACTTCTTCCATATATCTAACCTGAACTTCCCCTGTTTAAGTTTAAACCATGTTTGCAGTCTTCAATCCCTTCCTATTCAGAGCACTTTCCTCAGGGTAGGAGCTCCCCTTTGACAAGCTGAGGTTTAAAGGTGGGGAAAAAAGGAGTTCAGCTCATTGCAAGCAGACAAGATGTCTCCCTGAAAGCAGATCCTCTGCCCACCTCAATAACCCTTTGCCCTACGCTGCCCCTGTGCATCTGGGAGCATCTCCCCCCCTTCAACATCTGCCTGGCACCAGCCATCTCGGTTTTAGCTATAATAATCTTTGAAGATCTCTTCCTGATTGCTGAAGCACCTGTCTTTCCAGCAGTTCAGACATGCTCTCTCACACCTGAAAAGCATGTTTCCTAGATATGCCAGGTATGTTGTACTACACTAAACTGAACTACTCAAAATGAAAGCACATTGTAATGGCACTGCTGACACATTAGGTACAGCGTCTGTGTGTCATCGTGGCAAGGCTATAATTACAATTTCTTGGTAAATTCAGGCTTTACATACCCAAGAAGTCAAACTCCCACGTGTCTTGCTCAATGTCTGCTATGAGCTTCTTGATCTGCTGCCTGTACTTCAGTTCTTTGATGCAAAGCTAACAAAATGGGCTCTTTTCTTTCAAATAAGGTTCAAAAAGGCTAAAATTGCAACAGAAAAAAAAAAGTACTTTAAGAATAATCTAACCCCTAAACAAAACTGCAGGTTGAAATCTAGTAGTCATTCATCTGAAATTATTTACCTGCCGATAGCCAAAAACCCAACTACCACACTACCTGGCCACCAACACGCAGAAATTCCTTCTTCCTACCGTTTAAGCCATATAAGCTCAAACAAGGTGATGTGCTCTCCACAAAGCCCTTTAAACATTATCCTGTACTTCAGATCTCTTCTACTTTAAAAAGGGAGTTGAAAGGAACTTTGAGTTTTACAGCAGCCCCTTCCCTCCAAGGATCTGGGTGGTTCCAAACCCGATTTGCCTCTGCGTTTTTAAATGCATTCCTTCCTCCATGGGAAAGCACCACAAAGCCTCCACTCGAACCTGAGGAGGCAGGGGGGAGCAGCAAGACTGACGGCGAGCGGCCCTGCTCATTACACAGAGCACCCAGCGACACGGATCCACCGCACCTTTCGGGTTACAGCCATGGCGGGTGTTACGAGACACCACACAAAGCATTTAGACCGTGACTCCAGCAACGTTTGTTCCATTTACGAAGCACAACAGCCTCCGTCTCTATAGCACGCAGCCCAAGGGCAGCCGCACGCTAACCCCAGAGATGGGATAGCGCGAGGCACCCGCGTCCACGTCTCACGCTCTCAGGAATCCAACCCCTGCCCACTTCCACCGTCTCGCACAGCACGAGGGGGGCTCACACCCCCGTCACCCACAGCAGCGCGGCCGCCCCCCGCATCCTTCCACACCTCCTGCCCCCCACCACGGCGAGGCCCGCGCCCACACCCCCCAGCGCCCGAAGCCCCGGCACCACTCCTGGCCGGGCGGGACTCTGCGGCTCCCCCGGCCCGGCTCAGCCCTCCCTGGCGGGCGGCCCGCACCGGCCGGCTCGATGCGCCCCGGCGCCCGGCTCCGCGCTCACCGCTAACGGACGGAGGGGCGGGCCCAACGCGCGGGGCGGGGGGGCTCGGCTGGCCCCAGGGAGGTGCCGGGCAGCGCGGGCCGGGCGCGGCCACCGCGAGGTCGCTGCCGGGCTCTCCGCTGCCGCCGCCACAGGGACGGCACCAAGAGCGCGCAGCCCCAGAGCCACCACTGAGCATCGCCACCGGGCCGGCACAGGGCCGCCATCAGCCCTCCCCTTGCAGGGGCTCCGCCACCCCATCACCGAGCACCTCCGGGGACACCCCCTGTGCGAGGGGCTGGGCTGCTCTGGTGCCACCTTCCATGCCGGCTGGCCACCAACCTCACCGGTGGCTGTCTCCGAAGGTCTGGCAGATCCCTCCTTTACACCATCCCCAAACCCACTGTGGTCAGGCAGGCTGCAGAGATACACAGCGGCTGGTCTCTGACCGAGCTTATGTACCCATGAAAGCCTTGATCAGTTACACCTGGGAGGTTGTGTCAGCTGGGGATGTGTGACTTACCACCACTTGATATCGTCATGAAGAACACATGGTGCCCTACAGACACAAAGGTGGCACAAAACCCTGTTGGGAAGGATGGGGCCGAAGGGACAAGGATTTTTTAAAAAATAAAATAAATCCATCCACCCCTCCCACCAAAAAAAAAAAACCAAAACACAAAAAACCAAACCCCACAAAAAAGCAAACAAACAAATCACCAACCAACCACACACCAAACAAACAAACTCAACATAAAAGCGCCATAAAAGTTAGAGATACAGTGTGGGAGAGAGCTAAGGGCAGAGAAGGAAGAGGAAAGAATGAAGCAGACCGGAGTGGAGGCTCCTGCAGGAGGGGAGCCATGGGCAGGAGCTGCTCCATAGCCCCTTTGCCCCCCCATGCCTGTCAGCCCTGTCCAGGCAAGCAGAGAGCTGAGAACAAGCCCTGCTGCTGCACAGCTTTGCCCCGGGGCAGGTTCAAGTCCTAGAGAGCAGGGCCGGAGGAGTAGAGCTGAGCACAAACCAGGCAGCTGAGCCAAGGCCATGGCCTTGCACAGGGCCAGAGGGTCAGGCGGGGGGGCAGGGAGCATGCCATGAGGAGGCAGCAGAGCCCAGGCAATGAGCTCCTCTCCCTGCCTGCCTGGCACTGGGTGCAAAGGGCTTGCGAGTCAAGGGTGGTGGAGGCACTTGTGCCATGCAAAAACGTGCGAGCCAGGGGATGCGAGGTTTGAGCAGGGGGAGGTGGAGGCCGTGGAAAGAAACACAAATCCTCCAAATAACACGGCTTCCTTGCAGCAACGCTCAGCCCTTGCCAAGGTGCTCTCCAGCCCAGCCCTGCGCAGGAGGGGGGGGCTCTTTGCAGATTTGCACCTCGTGCTGGACTGCCCCTGGCCCTGCTCAAAGCAGCGGCTGCTGGAGGAATTCCCAAGTGTAGGCTCCCTGTCGTACTGCTGGCCTCATTGCTTTACTTTAGACAGGAGCGCGTGCTGACTTGCCTTGATTAGGTTTGATAGAAGCGCAGCTCTCACTGAAGTCCCCTTGAGTCGCATGCCAGATGCTCTGGCTGGGAGGAAGCGATGGTGAAGCCCCTTTGCCCTCTGCACGGGAATAATACCCATCTGTTTCACGCCAGCTCCGTCTCCCCTGCAGCAGGTTGGGATTCACAGCAGGTCTTGCTCTCCCTGCAGTTAGTTGTGCTTCATTTTTGGCCAGGCTTTCAAAGCTCAACACAGAATGCTTCAGCGAGTCAGGAGATGAAAGCTGAGCGGTTTCAACTGGCTGGGCCTTCACAAACCCGCCAGAACAGAAAGCAGACAGGTGTGAGAGCCACCCTGCTCCCCAGCCGTGGGCTGCCACGACTGGCTGATATCCTGACCTGCCTTCAAAAGGGCTTTCTGGTTCCCCAGAAACTCTCTCCCAGGGCTTGCAGCCTCCACTGACACCATGCCCTGCTTCCACGGCTGCTCCTTTAGGCCAGGATGGCCAGGCAGGGGAGTGTGAGCCCTAATCACTTCCAAAAACCAGGTGGCAGTTGGCACAGCTGAGCACCTCCATGCTCTCTCCTTCTCATACCAGTCTGAGCTGAGATGCTGTCCCCAGTAGGGCCAGAATGAAAGGTCTTTCTCCTGACAGCTCTCCTTCCTGCTCCTTTTCTGCTGTGGGCTCTTTCAAGGCCACAGATCTGCCTGTAACTGCAGGCGATGCTTAGTTCCCCAGAAAACACTTGTTCAAGAAGAGGCTCCCAAGTACCTGCCGAAACAGGCAGATCAGTGACTTAACATAGGATTTTTCCTTACTGCAAGGCTGTTTTGGGAGAAGAAAAGCAGAGCTCGCCACTGTTTCAGCTGTGATAGAGCTAATTTTCTTCTTAGTTAAACAATTATGCCCATCCAGTCAGCCAGATCACTGGTGCAGTGAAAGCATGCACAGGGGTTAGCAGAGTCTGGACTCATAGTGAGGGCTCCCATCTCACCCACTTATCAAACATGAGAATCAAAACAGTTTCAGTAGGTGTTATGATGTGAGCTGGCACTGGGAAATATGTGACATGTGCTAATGGTTCATTCCTGGCTGAAGAGCCCAGCATCCCTCTTCTATTGTCCATGAGCTGTTGCAGCCACCTTTCGTGCCATCCACTTGCACTCCTTTAGATCTCATGCATCTATCCCAAACCAATAGCTCAGGAAACACCACTGCCAGGGCAGTTAATCACACCAAAGCTCGCTTCTACAGAGAACAGCCTTACCCTGGTTATGGGAGGAATAAGAAAATATCAAAAATTCCCGACTTTGTGGACCTCAGAGATGATGCACGGGTTGTTTTGTTTCATCACTTGCACCTACCCCATGTGGGTGGCAGGCCCTTCAGATTTAGCAGTGTTTCCATACCCACCCCACACACATTTTGCTGAAGGTGCAAATGATCCTCCAAGCACAAGGCCACTGAAGAATAAGGCCCCAGATTTCTGTCTCCACACCTACATGTGTTCCCACACACGAGATACAGCATTAATCTAGAGTAAAACACCACATGTTGACAATGCGAACAGTACGTTTGACAGAAACTCCTTAGACTTGAACCTCAGAAAGCAAACCCACGAGAAAGTCACAATGCAGGGAGAGTCAGGACAAGGTCTGTCTTTATGCTGCCTGCTCCCTTCTCCTGAAGAGGCAGTTTCATTCTGGGAAGGGGAAGCCAGGTTCACCTTATATTCCTGCTCCTTTCAACAGCGCACTCAGCACAAGGCTGTTACCTTGAATTCAGTCAGGCTGGGACTGGAAGAGCAGTTCATACCAGCCAGCAGCAAATTCTGTCCTTTGCAAGCAGTTTTCACTGCAGCCTCAAAACCAAAGGAGACTGACCCAGGTAGTGACATTGTTGTTGATGAGCTTTCACCACTGTGCCACAGCAAATCATCTCCCCAGGGCGCGTTCTTCCACACCTGGGATCACACCATCAATACGGCCAGAAGGCTTCCCCAAGGAATTTGCAGGCAGAGGCTGCTTCTCCGAGGAAGGTGTGCAGAAAGCATGGGGCTGGCCAGAAGCGGGAAGACGACAGTGAGGATTACCAAGGCCAAGCCTGAGCAGGCAGGGAGTGGTGGTGGTGATGATGAAAAAGCTAAGCAAGCCTCAGTGAGGAGATCTCAACAGTGGTGGGCAGAGAAGCTGGCAGCAGGCATTTCTTACACAACTGATTCAGCGGAATTGGCCAGAATGGTCTCCAATGCAACTCTGGCATCTTCTGCGTAGGGCTGCAGGTGGAAAGAACCTGTCACCCATCGGCAGGCTGGGAGATTTTTCCAAGAAGAGTCTTCTTCTTTAGAGGGACCTTGATTTTAGAAAAGGTGAGTGGCAGAGATGCTCCCAAATCCCCTGGGAATAGACCCTTAGATACCTCAGAAGCCTCAGGCAGGTAAATGACCAGATTTCATGCAGCCGGAGATGACATGCTGACAGGAGGCTTTGACCTCCGTAGCTCCCCCAGCAAATATGGTACAGGCACTTCCCCATCTTCCTAGGTGAAAGCATCAAAATGGAGCTATCAGTCTAACCACTGGTACTCAGGAGCATAAGGGCAGGCTGCTGTAGCCTTGCTCTTGCTGAGAGGGGGCTGTTGCCCTCTGGAACACGAGTCATCCCACGTAAGAGGGCCAGGGCCAGCCTCACAAGGAAGCCAGTATACCCCCAGTCTGCACTGGGTAGGAGGACATTTCCTGGCACACTTCCAAAATTACAGATTCACACATAAACACTCTTCAAGCATGCAAAACACTCAGGAGGCTATAGATAGAGCCTGCTCTCTTCCAGGGAATTTGTCACCCAGCCCTGGTGAAAACAATCCTCAAAGAACTGCAAAACATCTCTGAAGAGCTACGAGCAGTCTTGCAACTCAGACATTCCCAGACAACATACAGGGAGCTGAGGTCCTCAGCCAGTTAATACTGCACGCTTCCGGGAGTTCAGGGGAGCGTTTGGGGGTTTGCTTTAATAGGAACAGGAGAAATTACTTGCCCCTTCTTAGAAAGGCTGGAAATTTTCCCTGAAGCTTCCAGATGAACATCAAGCTTTTCATGAGGAAGCCAGCAACACCTCGGCTCCCTTCATAAGGGCGCTTGCTGGGGGGCATAGGGAGCTCTGCTTCAAATTTGTCATACAGAACAGACCATTAGGCTTAATGGTTTATGCCCTTTCAGCAGGTAAGCATCAAAGTAATCTAGTTTGAGGGAAAAATAAATAAATAAATCAATCTGCCCTTTGCTGACAAACAGTAACAGATTCCTGCAAAAAGCCTTTCTTCCAACCGACTGGCATTCCATCAAGGAATCCCTAACCTGTCCCGATTTTTTCCCCACTAGAAAGCATATGCCAAAAGCTGGGCTAGACCCTCACCTGAACCCCACCATTTCAGAAGCTGTGCAGAGCAGTGTCTGAGCTGGTTGGCCGAACAGAGTAACAAAATCAAAGCATATCTTTGTGCCAGGCCTTAGGAAAAGCATGCACCACCAGAAGCAGAGGGTCAAGCATGCGGATATGACAGAGCAACATCTTTCTGGATAAGAGGACAACTCAACATTTTTGGATTTAGAACAGCTTCAAAACATGCCTTCTTGACATTTGTTCATGAGCTGATGTATTGCACCAGGTGCCGCTCTGACTTCCTGCCATCAGTAACACAGCACCATCAATATCTGGGCATTTATATCATTTGTCTGGCTGGTTCATCTACTCTTGAAGTACCTTCTCACTTAGCAGTGAGTATTCCCCATAAAGAGCCCTCTCAAACACAGAGAAACCATTAAAAACTATCTGTTGAAAGCAAAAAAAACCCAAGTGGTTTTTTGCTGTTTTCCGTCTGATTTTTGTATGCAGCTGATTATTGCAGCAGTGTAAACATGAAGGTGAATACAAATGTGCAGCCTAGAAAATAAGAGCTGAGTTTGGGTGTGACCTTGTGTTGCAAGTCAGACTGCTCACCTCACACTCAATGTAAAGGGAATTACTGGTGTCTTTGTCTCCCAAAACAAGGCAACATTCCTGGGGATCTCAGCAGGAAGGAGATTCCTGAAGCTTAAGACTGAGCTTCCTCTCCCCAACAGAAATGTCTCCCATTTAATGATTACCAAATCTTTTGTCTCTTTGCTGGGAGCAGAGCTCCGAGGAAGCAAAATCCAAAGGAAGCCATGGTTGTAGCGTAGACAACCGAGAGAAACTGGACAATCAAGTCAGAAGAATTATAGATTCAAATGTGTATCGTCATCCTGCTAATTCCCGGCTCTCCCCCTACTCCCTCCTCTGCTGACACTCCAGTCCCCACTTCAATACCTGCCAGGTCCTTTTAGAAAGCTGACATTTCCATTCCTGACATTTTCTGCAGCTCCATCTGGGAATTAATGGCCGGATATTAGCAGCGATGGGGCCGTTTATCATAATTAGTCTCATGAAGCTACTAAGCATCCAACTATTTTTCATCAGTGCTGAGGAAATAAACTGCAGAATCCAGCAGACGAGACGGACGATTTATTTATTGATTGATTTATTCTGGTCTGTCAGGATGCAGCTTTAAAGTTTGCCGAGATGAGCAATCTCAGAGGCAATGACGACGGCAGGGCTGGCCCACCTTGGGTGCACAAGCAGCAGAGAAGCAGCTCCCAAACCCCCTGGGACAGTGAGGAGGCTTTTGTTATCCTACGTCTGCTCTAGCCTCCTGCTGATAGGAAACAAGTTGTGACAGGTTGTGGACAAGCTCAGGAAGAGACAGCCACCAGCCACACGATGGCATCATGAATAAAAGCCATCTCCAGGCATGCCTTTTCTTCCCCATCAGGAGGGTGCTGTTTACCTTACAGGAGGTGGCACCTGGACCAGCAGCAACAGGACTGTCATTTGGCTTGGGTGTGCCAGATTGTCCTTGGACCTTAATGCTGAAATGAGGATGCTGCAGACAGCACATGTCTGTCACCTTCCAGAGGTGCCTGGGAGCGGGTAAAGCTGTTCTCTTCCTTGTCATCCTATGTGGAGCAGTGTGAAGTACTAGATAGTTATTTCCTTCCCCAAAGGATCAAAAGAGAATTCTGAGGGGGCAAAGTTTCATAAGCAAAATATCAGACTGGGTCCCCTGCAGGCAGGGGAGGGCCCCTTGGAATGGCCGGGGCTCACCACCAGCCACCTTCTCTGCAGAGATAAGATCCACCCTGTCACAGCTAGTGCTTGCTGTGCTCTCAGACTTACTTTTTAGGGGCTAATGCAGTACATTGTCTGTGTTTCTGGGTGCTTGGGTACTCAAGGAATGTGCCAGAGCTTCCACTCCTCTGGGGTTAGCTGGACAGTGAGCTGCTGAGATCCACCAGACGTTGTTTCCTATCCTGGCGGCTACTGCTCTGGGCAAGGAGCCTGTGCTGATTTCAGTGACTTCTCTATCATCCTGCAAGTACCACTCTGCATGGCTTGTAGGCCGGTTAGAGCACCTCTGACTGCAGCTCCTCTCTATACAAGTAAGAAATGAGGATTACAAGGCTGTGTGGAGCTTCTGCCTGGAATGAGCCATGAAGGCATTCTGGGCTGTGCTGCTTTTCCTTCTATCCCCAGGAAAAGCCACAAATCTTGCTACAAGCCATAAACCTCAGTGCTCACCTGCAGCAGACCCACCTCCTCTCCTGCAAGGCTGATTATCAAGGGCTTTCCATCCTGAGGTTTGCTGTGCAAACATTAAACATTTGTGTTTAAATATTACACATCTTCTACTGATGTGAAGCTAGTAATTACAGCCAGATGGGACCTGGCTCACAGGCAGACACAGGGCTCACACACTGCTGGATGGTGGCTTTTGTTTTTTGCAAAGCCATGTGGCCGACCACCACCAGGAGTATCAGAAAAGCTGGGTGTAATTAAAAACAGTAATAAAAGAAGTCTTCTAAATATATCTTGCAACATATTCCAGGTGAGCACTAAGTGTTCCTGGCTGCAGTGCCTGGCAGCCCCAACACTCTACCTGGGACATGATCCAAGCCAGTGTGCTTGCGCCATACATCCCTCCAGGTACAGCAATGACATACACTCATTTGATACTAGCACCTCCTACAGCACCAACACGGTCTGATCCCACAGAGCCTTCCTCAGCTGAGTGAGACCTCTTTTTGCACAAGAGTCTAAGCCAGCCTGTACTCCACTCCATCAAAGTAGCCCCTACAAGTGTGTTGCAGTCACAGGGCCGCCACGCCACCAGCACAAGTTCACAACTGCTGCTGCCTCCTCACCTGCTTAGTTGAGAGATCATCTTCATTTCAGATGCCTGCACACATTTCTGCTTGCCTGAGCTCCCAGAGTAGGAAATTCTGCACTTCCTGCTGCCTGCAAGATTCCAGGTTTGATTCTGTTCAAGGCAAAACAAAAGCATGGCAGTGAATAGTGGATTTATTTCCCCTGAAAAATAACCCATATTCACATTCAACATCTAAATCTTGTTTTAGTATATAATCCTCTTCCCCATCGCCTCTCCCCTACACAGCAGACCCAAAAGGTAAGCAGGAGCATACCAGTTTGAGCAAATAGCCGAATGCTTGTCTTACTCATCACCTGTGTTGCATTTATATATATATAGACACACACAGAGAGAGCAGCAAACATCCAGGAAGCAATACCTATCCTTACTCCACAAACCTAATTGAGCACTTGTGTTCTAGCAGCTACAGTGATACACACAACAACCAGCATTTGATGCCTGGAAAAAAACTAGAGCTAGCATCTCATGCACAGTTTAAGTAGCCCCGGTAAAGGAGCTGCAGGTAATGGCACTGAGGGGAAACGAGCTATAAAGGCTACAACCCTTTCCCTGCAAATCAGTCTAGCCCTGTTTAATATTTATGTTCTTATGAGCTGTTGATTCCTCCTCTTTGTTATGAATATTCTGGCATACTTTCAGGATGTTCCCAAGGTAAGTGTTAGACAGTCAGAGCTTGGTCTCCTGCCTAAGCAACCAGTTATGTTTAATTCTCTCGGACAGCTGCTGAGGTGTATTCTCTGTATTGTAACAGTCAGCATTGTATCTCTACCTGCTCATCATCCAGGTGTAAGAGGTGTCTTACAGCCAGCCTGACTGATAGGAGCCAGTGTCTCTGGTTTCAAGGGGAAGAAAGAGGGAAAGGAGCAAACACAGGGAACAAAAAAGAGAGGCTGTCTAGGAGATGTAATAGAAATCATTGTTTTGTGAGACACGGCAGAGCCAGAGCAAGCATATGCTGTAATCTGAGACAAGTGCCAAGCCCTGATAGGTTTCCCTATCGAGGAAATCAGGATCAGCCTTGGTGAGAGGCTGAGAAGGGGAGCAGGTAACACACATGGAGAGACAGGAAGCTCTGATACAGCCATCTAGGAGCCTGTGCCAAAGCTCTTGAGCCCCATTCTCTGAGCTTCGGCTCTTCCTCTGGCTAACCAGAGCCTTGTGGCTGCATGGTTTGCATTCATGTTTCATTCGCTTCTCTGCTACCCTGGTCTCACTTGTCTGCCATCTCTCTTGCTACTCCCTCTTCCTGTGCTTTATGGGCTTCTAACTTCCTAAGTCTTCCAGGGACCATAGGTAGAGCTTCCAAAGAAGCTTATTTCTGCTGTCATATGCATCAGGAGAGTGTTATGGGAAGGGAAAGACAGGACTCAATGCCTCTCTGCTTTCTGCACCCAAGAAGCAGAGCTTTGGCATACCATTACCAACCCTTGTTTCTGCAGTAACCTTATCCAACGCTGCATGGGTCTGTGGAGGCCGTGTTGTACTACTGTTGCCTTCATGAATAATGGATTCCCTTCCACTTTCCCTCTCCTCTTCCCTGTTAGATCCCGTTTCATGTTGGGCATGCCTGGTATGTTTGCTGCGTCCCCTGGGAACACTCTGATTCCCAGCTCCTCTTCCCAAGATGCAAGCAATATGCAAGAGGACACCGAGGATAATTCAGGTGGTTATTAGCAGAGGCATGAGCAGGATCTACCTGCTGGGTTTTGTTTAAGGTATTTCCATTGCTTCCAATGAGGCTGTGCAGCTCATATTGTCAAGGCCTGAGGGCTTTAGCGGCCCCTGACCAGGGGCTGTCCTTGCAACACACTCTGCTCCAGCCGCACCAGTTTAACTCAGCCCTGGACTCCCTGCTCTTGCCCGAGCTACATTATAGGCGCATCCATCTCCAGCTGTGTTTCTGGCCCTGCCTTCTGCAGGGACTTAAGACCCATGCGTAGCCTTCTCTCCAGTTCTGTCTCTGGCCCTTGTGCTCCTAACAGGGCTCTGTGGATGGACTCTGGAGCTGGTTCAACAAGAAGCTCTTGTTCTTCCCAGCTCTTCCTGTCCCTGTGAAATATACTTGAATCTGGCCAAAACAAAACCAACAGTATAGGTGCCTGTTACAGAGCAAAACATGCCTGGAAATTACCCAAAGGCCGGTCTGGTTGCAGCGTGAGAAATGCTATTTCAAAGTCATTTGCACAGACCTTAGTTTTTTTATGACACCTGATTTTTATTTTAATGTGAATGACAGAGTTGAGCTGCTTTCCTGAGGACCCCCGTTCATCCCACGCTCAGGACAGACATTGCATGGTTAGCACAAAGTCCTGCACTGCTCCGTTTCCATTGTGTTGTTCAGTGCATGAAGCCCTAGGCAGGATTTACTGCACATTATTCAATCTCTGCTAGGGAGGTAAGATTATTAGTCTCCTAAAAAGCTTTTCAATTGAGTTCACTAAAATAGCTGAACGTTCTGAAACTGTTAATGATTTTAGCTTCGGAGCTCTGCTGCCTGAGGACGGGTCTGTGCTGGGGCTGTTTTACTGAGGACAAAACTGCAGCCCGGAAGGGCTAAAGGAATGGGATCTCTGGGGCCCTGCATGGACACAGCTCAGGTGGGATGTTACAGAGCACTTAGACAAGTGTAGCAGCTTCCCTTCAAGACAGGGGTCTTTCCGAAAGCCCCGTGGCAGTCACCTGGAAAATGAAGATCACACCAGTGTGGTACGAGCTGCATAACGAAGCTACTGCATGAGGAGCAGCTCTGAGCCCGGGTGGTAGCAGAGGGCTCTGAAGCCAGCCACCACACCACCTTTATGTGCTCACTGGTCATTTCCTTCAGCCCGGAACAAAAGAGGGTATCAGTCTTCCCAAATCAAAAGAGATTGTCCAAACCTGGAGCTAGGCACTTTGGTGGGGGGAGCAGAAAATAAAACACCTCAAGGCTCAAGCTTGGGCAGAAAGGTAGCACAGAGCATCTGGCATTTGTCCTCCTGGCCCTGGGACTGGAGACATGTCGCCTTCATCCCACAGGTGGTGGCTAATCCCTGCTGTCCACAGCTGTTTCTGTAATCCATGGTGGCACTAACCTGCTTCTCTGTACCCAAGGAACCTTTTGTCATTGGAGCAGAGACCGCTGCAGTGACTCTCTTCCTGATTACCCCTAGGAGGGGGATTTGGCTTTTGTCTGGGCAAATGCTTTACTGATTCAGCATGGGAGTGGGGGAACGTGACACACGTCTCAGGAATTAAATCCATTGCTGGAACTGAAAAGATCCTAGTCCCCAAGATGCTGATCCACGGTGTCAAACAGGGTGGGGGGAGGAAGAAAGGAGGGTGGACAAAAAGGGTTTGCTGAGCAGCCCAAAGGCAGGTCTGAGTTTCACCCGGCACAGATGACAGTGGAGCCTCCCTCCCTGTCTGCTTCCCTCCCTCCGTCTCTCCCCCTGTCTCCCAGCCCTTCTCTCTTCTGAACACAAGCTGCAAGTCCCTGGGAGGCCCCTAATCTGCTTTGCTGTACAAAAGGCCCAGTCTACTGGCTTTCCTTTTCTTCCTCCCTCTTCAAAGTTGAAGTGGGGATCGGTTTCCAGACACGAAGGTAGGGAGGGGAAAGGAGCAGGGCACAAGCGATTCCTCTGCAAAAGAGATTCTTTGGAAGGCAAGGGCACAGGTGTCTTCAGGTGGGATGGAAGCACAGGGTCTTCGGGCTGTCAGGATCCTTGCTTCCTAATTACTTTTTCTGGTGTGCTTTGGTATCACTTATTCTCGTGCCAACATCACCCATCATTTTATACGCCTTTTCTTCCTCCCACCCTGATTAATAAACCAGCTCCTTCCAGCCTTTGTTTTACTTGTGAAATAGGATCTCCATTCTCCTGATCACACTCAGAGAATTTTTCTGCATTGCTTCTGGTGTGAATTCAGCCTACCTGCCCAGGACTGCTACCGATGCTCGACCAGGTCTTGTCAGGACTGTGCAAACACTATTAATAATCTTCTTCTTCTTGGAAATATCCCAAACCCCTTGGGTCTCGTTCGCCTTTTTTGTGCCTTTAGCTCATTGGTGGTTTATAATCACCCATGACTGCTACAACCAAGTTCACCTCCTCCTCAGTCATGTCCAGCTGACACACTGCCTGTCTAGCATGAAAAATCCCCAACCCTGTGATTAGTCTTGCATTTCGTGCTGGTGAATTTCAACTCCTTCCTGCGCCTCCATGCTCAAGGTTGTCTGCTGCTTTCTGTTTGATCTCCCATCTCCTCTGCATTCACGATGCCTCCCCGTTCTGCGTCATGAGCTGGCTTAACCTAAGCGCTTCCACTTCTTATGACAACATCATTCATGGGGAGAATAAACAAGATCGATCCCAGGATTGATCTGGGAGAAACTCCAGTGGTGAGCTCTGTTCACCCTGCTACTGCCTCTGTCCAGAGGAACAGCTTCTGCCCCCAACTTCTATTTCCTCCACCGGTGCCATCGTCTTCAGTTTAATTAGTAATTTCCCTGTTACTCCATTGAGCACAGCTTGCTGCATGTGTCTAGAAATTTGTCTAGATAAATTGAGATGAGCAGGCTGACTCGGTTGAATGCTTTCCATGGCATGCTGAGATGGGTTTCCTCCAGCCATCTAACCATGCTGGTCTGCAGGTTTTGTTCCAGGTCTTTGCATGCTACTGACCTATCCTGCAAACTTCCCAAGCCCACAAACAACAAAGGAAGAATGGGTATTAGGTTCACAATCTTCAGTGCGGTTCTTTCTCTCCTGCGAGAGGTTTAGGTTTTGCCTCTGGAAACCTTGCCACTACACCAGCAGTTTGGCACATTATTTTGTTTGGAACCCACAAATATGTGCTTGCCCTGGCTGCAGTGCATCGGTGCATCTGACTGTTGTCTTTTATTATGTTATACCATTCCGTCTTTATGCTGTCATCCTCTTATCTTGCATGTTGACCCTACCTACCCCAAGCACTGTCATCTCCTTCACATTGGTTGGGAGCCACATCATAAACATCCTTGACACTCAATAAACCTACCGTGTTGAGCTGATGCCTGAATAGTATTTTCCCCTGTGTCATAGTATCCTTTATAAGGTTTATCTCAGTTCAGCTTGCCATGTTATCTTTGCTGCTTCCAGGTGTCTAAAGTAGCATCCCTCTTGTCACCAAAACTGGTAGAGGAGTACATAGATCCAGTTAGAACTGGATTTCCCATAGCTAAACTCTTCCTTGTCAGTGTGAGGCAAGCACATCTCAGATCTAGTCCTCAATTAGGGGCTCAGACAGATTTAAGGTCTTACATTCACTTTGCTAAGTGACATGGCAAGAGGACCTGGCAGTCCTGCTTCTTCTGACTCTCAGGCTTTGGGTCCCAGATGTTCCTACTGCAATCCAGGCCTGTCACAGGCAACTTTAATGCAATCTGGGGATGGACCAGGTCCTCTCTAGTGGGGGCAATGCTAGACCTGGGAGTCTGCAGCCTTCACTGGGAAGGAAAATAACAAAGTGTGTTCTGATTAAATTGTAAAACCTTCTCCATCAGGCTACTGAAAACCAGCTTTCCCCAGTTTAGTTCTACCTGCTGGGGCACTGGGATCCCTGAGCAGGAAGAAGGGGGTAAATCCGTCCTCAGTGAACAGAGGAGTGAGCAGGCTTTGTGTTGCAGCAGAGGCTGGGACAGAGTCCATGTCCTGTAATGGGCAGGTGGGATGGACCCGCTGGAGGGTTACCGCTGTGTTAACCTTTGCAGGAGAGCCCCTCGGCACCGCTTTGCTCCCTGCATCTCCCGGGATGCTGCCGGCTGTCTGGGTACGTGGCTTCCCTGGAGACCGTGTCAGTTGCTCCCAACTCACCTGCCCTGCTGCGAAGAGCAAAGGCGAAGCCGGAGCCTCACCACCCTGCTCTCTAAAGCCTCTGTCTTGTGGTGGAAATAAATTGCCTCAGATTCCTGTAACTCAGGCAGAAAACCCAGGCCCCTTGCTGATAAAACCAGGCGGCCTGGACAGCGTTGCCCTGGCAACCTGCACTTTCTTCCCCATCCTTTTGTTCGGCCTCGGACCCAGACTTTTGTACCCAGCCATAATGGGGCCAGACTCTCGGGATGTTTACGGGGTGAGGTGAGAGGAATTTCATTCAGCTGCGTCTTGCTTGGCCCGTCTCCTTCCGCAGGGCGAGGGAGGAATGTTATTGACCAAGGCCCCATGCAGCGACATAGGCACTAAAGAAAAGCACTTTAGACTTTCGGGCAAAGAAAAGAAATTCCTGCCCTCCCCCATGCAAACATACCCCCTCTGCCCCAGCGCGCCTTTTGTTTCCTTATTTCTCTTTTTGTAACTCCCCTGCTCACCCACTCCTGCCTACAGCTGCTCTCACCGGGCACAAACAAAACCCTTTAGCATGCCCTGTGTGCCTGCCAGCTCTGAGCTGTGAGACATTCAGTCCTCCTGGATCGCCATCCTCCGAGGCTCCTGGCCGATAAAATGAGGCTGTGGGCGCCCCGAGTCTGCAGGAGCAGAGGTGCTGTGCAGCTGAGGCAGGGGCATGGAGCAGCCAACGCAGCAGGGCGCTGGAGCAGGACCTGCAGCCCACTCGGAGACCCTGCCATGCTCAGTCCTGTGCCCTCTAGTTC